TTTTGAAATTTACCAGTAGCTGCTGCATTTCCCACCCTCGGCTTATACTCGAGTCAATAAGTTTTCCCAGTTTTTTTGTGTAAAATTAGGTGCCTCGGCTTATATTCGGGTCGACTTATACTCGAGTATATACGGTAAATATTATGCATACCTTTTCTTGAGATGAATACAATAAAGCAGCAGTAAGTATAATACATTCATACTTGATCTTATAGTATGAATAATATTTATTCTACTATAGCTTTCTCCTAATTCCATGCTACACAATGGAATTAGGGTACTATTTGAAATTCTGTGCCATATTCCAACATGATAAATATATTCGTTAATCTATTTTACCTTGATGCAGAATGCTATCTGGTATAGCTGCATTTTTTCTTTTTATATATTTTATTTGCATAGGCACTCTTGGGATAAGTCTGTCCCCCTGCAGTGTCCCAGGATTCAGACCCACCTTCCAGCTTGCAGATGATGAATTTGAGCTCGGTTTAGGTAAGAATGTGTATATCGCTTTTGTCTATCCCTCTTCTTTAGAATGACGTCAATTTTTTTAGTTAAGAAAGAAACTAGCAACTGAAGATACTTTGCTTTATCTGCAGGAATCCATGGTGAAGCAGGTGTGCGCAGAATGAAGGTAAGTTGACTATGACCCATCTTACATACCTAGAAGTGTATTCTTGTCCACTAACGTGTATCATTTTCACAGATGGCAACAGCACATGAGATAGTCAACATAATGCTGGATCACATGACCAACCCTTCCAATGCCTCTCACGTGCAACTCAGGCCTAGTGAGTAATTTTGGGCTGATATACCTATTATTCCCCAAAGTTCTCAAAGGACACTGATAATTTTTTTTTAATGTAATCAGTGTAATAAACTTTTACCCGAACAGCAGCATTTTTGGTGAATTTACCACAGATATTCCTTGACTTACAGGAATTCCAGAGCCCAGAATTTCTATCATATGTCACCATACCAATAAAGTGTCCAATCACATTTGGCCAATAAAGAATTCTATTCTATTCTAAAGGAGAATATTTGTAGATCAGGGTTGAAATAAAGGGTCCTTGGTGCTCTCTGAGCTTGCTTGTTTTCTTGCAGACATTACCCAAACTAGATAACATCTTCAGTGCTCATAAGGAATCCATATGTCACTATGGATGTAAGTCGAAGCACTGACATGACTGAACTGATTTTATGACATTTTTTGTGGCAATTATTAAATGAACACTGTTGTCATTAAGCAAACACTGTGGTCAATAAGCAAGCCACACCAGCTGTTGTCCACGCCAACTGTTTTGGAATGGAAGTAAATGCTAGTTTCTAGCAAAAAAAAAATGTCATACCCAATGCGTGGGATGCTGCAGATGGCCATAAATGCAAGATATCAAGAGCCCAAATGCGATCACATGATGCAGGGGGGCATCAAAACTTTGAATTTGGATTGTAAGTACCTTTTGGAGGTTTTACTGTACCTTCAAATGGTCTCAAAGTGAACATTCGTAAGTCAAGGATTACCTGTATGTGATTAGCAATCCTAGGGGTATTTTGACTGTTGTGACTATTTACCATTACTACATGTACAAATCTAGTGTACTTAAATCATCCTCTGTGTATTAATATTTGCAGATTACACTTATATTAGGCTTCCGGGCCATTGAAACACCTTTCAATTATACCAATATATATATGCTTTGGCTTTCAGATTCTTCTGTGGTCTTGGTAGTGAACAACCTGGGCGGATTATCATATCTTGAGTTGAATATAGTAGCTGGATCTGCTGTTTGTTCTCTTGGTAAGTTTTTTTTAATTGAAAGTAGGGTAAATGAAAAAAACATCCAGCTATCAGCAAAGTGTTCACACCTTTGAATGCTTTGCATACCTCTGCTTTAATTACTTGGGATTAAAGTCATTGTCATAAACAGCCAAGATCTTTTGGGTACATTTATTAACTTAACATTAAGATTTAATTTAATAAATACACAAATCCTATTTTGAAATAGCTAAACAACGTGCTCCATCAGGTTATCATTTCAGAGATACTACCTTACCATATTTCTTTACCTGCATTCCCTTAATTGGAAATATTGGGATACATTCAGAGATATTGTATCTGTCTTGAAAATAGCTCATGTTGAACTATATTACACAGTCAAATATCAGCACAGGAAATACTTTATGACATTTTATTATATCATAAATTACTTTATGATAATGTTTATGTCATACCATGTTTTATAAAATTTACCAGATTTCAATTCCATGGGAGTCATGGGTCCCGGATTTTGGACATATTCTCTGAGTCAACTCATTTGAGACATCTTAGTTCAAAACATTTTGTCCTATGGTATATCATTTTGCCCCATTAGAGGTTATAGGAATCATAGTTTTAGTAGTATATAGGTAATGTTGATAGGAATTAAAACATAACCTGGGCAGAAACTGGGATTCAGCTGCATCATAAATCAATCTGTAATGTTTAGATCAGCATGAAGCTGTTTCCAGGCAAATAATTGAATATCTATATAAAGGAAGGGAGAAAATACAGGAACTGTTATTTTGGCCTAGGGTTAATTATATTACCAAGGCAGCAATCCTTGGAATGAGCAAAATGTATTCCTCAAACTGTCCTTCACAGAAACATAATTGGATGTTTCCCCATTAAAACTCGCATCCAAGTAGAATAAAAGTAGATATCTTCCATTGTTGTGAGGATAAACTCATCCTCCCAACTTGCAAAAGTCTATTCAGTGATGTGATGATTACCAGGAAGGGGGGAGCTGAAATTTTGCTCTGGGTTTTGTTTGAGGGGAGACTTTTTGGCTCCATTTGACAGGACTTTAAGACTGAGAAAAGGTAAGGCTTGTGTCCAGGGACTTCATTCCCAATTTTGTTTTCATATTTTTGTACTTGAAAATCATGCCACCACATTTCAGGTTTGCCCTTGCAAAATTCTCCACTTTAAAAAAAAAAAGTTTTCTAGAACTTTTTAAATTTTGAAAATGTTCTTAATGTCTAATTTGTAGGCAGTGGTTTGTATACCTATACATTATTTTTCTCTTCCATACTACTCTGATATTTTTATCAATGATACCATATTTACTTGTTTTTTGTCTAAATATATTTTTATGATAATCTGTGTTAATTTACAGTAATCTCTGATAGGAATTTTGTATATTCATAATGAATTGATGTTTGTAATTTGAATTCACTCTTCAGAAACAAATAACAAAATTTAAGCACAAGTTCTTCATGGGGGATCTTAGTAATGGTAGTATTTTTTTTTAATGCCAGGATTTCTCAGCTCCGTTAGAAATGCCTTAGTAAATAGATTTGACATGGATATTACCTTACCTCAGGTAGGACTACTCCTATTTGGGAAAGGAGAAAAAAATTAGAGGCTCGGGCTCACATGAAATGGGAAAGAATTACTGATGCAGTTCCGATACCTCCAGGCTGTTCTAGAGGCCCCACAGCCCTCCTTATTTTCTGGATATGAAGGTGAGGGAGGTGTTTGTAAAAAAAATAGTGAAAACATTCCATGATCATAACCACAACCATCTAGTTAGGTAGCTGAGTAATGAAACATCTGCAAAAAACAACCAAGCTCAGAGAACACCAAGGACCCCACATTTCATAATCATTTCTGTTCATGAGGTCTTTGAATCTTATAAGAACCAAGTATTTAATTTCCTCTTGTAGTGACATCACTTTGGAAATTTTATGGACTGGTTTCTTTACTTTTCAGTTGCTTATATAAGATTAACCTTCTCATGTTTTCCCAAACGTTGCATTATTTAAAATGGATATAATTTTCATTTTTCTTAATCTGGTTCATTCATGACAGTTACTTCTTTTTCCTTCTCATTTTGGTTCTTCACCCTGAAGAATGCTTCAAGTTTTCCTTGCTTCATCATTGCAGAGAGCAGAGGTTTTCATGTTGCCCGGACTTATGTTGGATCCTTTATGACTGCATTGGAAATGGCAGGTGTCTCCCTTACACTTCTCCAAGTGGATGAAGAACTCTTGATCCTCCTGGGTAATTTTCTTAGATATTGGTTTTCTTCCCACTATTTTATTGGGAAAAGTAAATTGAGTTAATTGATCAGAATATGTCTGTGGAACCATCAGTTCAAAATGGTATTTTTGACATTATGAGCATGCATAATGCAGATACATAACTAGCATGTTCAATGGTGTACTGTATCTTTTTATTTTAAATAGTATCTTAGCTAGCTCTCCATTTCTATTATGATGGGTTTGATTATTTGGGGATTGTTCCCAGATGTGTTTCTATTTTATACAGAAAAAATGGTGGGAATTCTCAACAATTCATTTGTTTATGTTCTTTCATGAATGTGAAACTCTCAATTGTTGTCTACAATATTTAATTTAAATTCCTAGATTCAGATACTACAGCTGTTGCCTGGTCAAAACCTGTCAGGATGTCTGTGACAAGACAGAAAAGACAGAGGGTAGTACCCCAAGAGTGTTGTAAGGAAGAAGAACCTGATCCAGCAAAAGGTACAGTCTGAAACATCTGTTATAGCTACAATGGAATTTCTGCTTTGCTGGGTTCATGTCATCAACTGAGACTGATTGAGGCTTCCAGCCAGGTAATGGTAGAGACACAGGATGGAGATAAAAGACCTGAGGCATCATTATACCATGATTGGACAAATAGGATTAATTAAAGGGGTGTGTGCAAGTCACTAAGTCTTGCATTGACTTCTGTTCTCTTTTCCATGTATACTTGAGCCTAGCCCCCTAATATTTTTGTGACATCGAACAGACAGATTACATGTATTTTAGTTTGTGGGAAATTGCCAGAGTACTTTTCTTGCATCTGTCTAGTTCCAGTACTCCGGATGAATGATTTTTATTTTTGTTTTAATTGATATACCACATTTTCCTTTCAAAAGAATTGCAATTCTGTCTGGAGAGTATAAGGCTGATATCCAAACCTCTAACTGATGCTCATTCTTCAGAGGGAATTACATTGAAGGGGTAGGCGGAAAAAAGGTGGTCTGTGATTTTTATCTTCCGTGTGAGAGAGCCAAAAGCTACTTCAGGTTTGCCAATGTTCTGATTAAGCTGATTAAGATAGGGTTAGCAATCAAATTTATCCTTCCCATTAAAGAATAAGGTTTGAAATTGGGTTTTGGGTTTTGGTGTATGGTTGTTTATTTCCAATATAACAGAGTTATTTACTAAATTGTACAGTTTTTATTTTGTTTAATATACAGATTAAGAGTTATTAAAAATATTTATTTCTTGCCTAACTCTACATCCAATGAAATAGTTTTTTTTTTTTAATATGGGGCAATCACACACATTGATTTTATCATTTTAGGTCTCTACAATATCGCAAAACTTGAGAATTATCATAGAACAAACATGCAGAATATTCAGATCGCTTCATTTGAAACCCAAGAATTTTTCAGTGAATTATCACAAATGTTCTACTTTTTCATCATTCATCGAGTAGCTTATAAGCCATCCAGTACAGACTTCAATTTCTTTAACTTCCTGATAAAGTGATCGGTTTGGTTAAGTGATCTGTGGAGTTTAATTTTATATTTTTATACATATATTCACAAGAAACAGAGATGAATAGCAATATTGGTACTTCCGTAAAACAGAGTTTGTGAAACTTCACCATTATTGTAACAAAATAAATAATAGTTTCCATTCCTTGTAGTGCCATCTTCTCCTCACATGAGATTGATTCTGGAGTGCGTGTGCTCTAAAATGCTTGGCCTACAGGAACACCTCAATGATCTTGACCGTGCCGCAGGTGATGGAGATTGTGGCAGCACACATGCACAGGCTGCCATTGGTTAGTTCTCTTATACTCTTAAGCCTTGGAGTTAACTTATATCATCTGGCAACCTTGGACTTCTTTAAAAATCCAGTGTTGAATTCCATTGAGCTCTTTTGTAAAAATTTTAGTTAGAGAAATGAAAGCATTAAATACCCTAACCATAGCTAAGGCTATAGAGGCAGCTATATTTTAGGTTGTGAAGCGTGAACAAATTTTGACTTTTGTGTGCTTGATAAAAATGAGAGAATTTCAACTAAGGTTTAAGCTGTATGCCCAAAAGAGTAAAGCTTTCTTCCAAACTGAACTAGATTGAGTGGGGGGGAGGGGTTACAGAAATGTCATAAATGGAGCCTAAACACAATAGAATTTATGTTTGCTGTATTTAAATAAAGGGCAAATTGGGATGGAAGGATGAAGACGGGATACAGACCAAAAATGATAGATCTTGCAACTGAGCAAAACAAATTATTGAGGTATTCATAATTCAAACTAGCTTTGGGTATTAGTGCTGTTTTCTTTAAAACAAAAACAATGTAGTGAATATGAGCATTAGAGATAATATCTTCTCTGAATTTTGCATTATGGATACATTAAGATTAATAGTTTGAAAGAAAAGATTTTAATTTTTTACTGATTCTGGAATCCTTGGTAACTCTGAGCTTGATGGTTTGCTTGCAGATGTTTCATCATCTAACTAGGTAATATCATTGAGGCTGTTACCTAGTTGGGTAGTGAAACATCTGGAAGCAAACAACAAAGTTCAGAGACCATCAAAGACTCCACAGTTCAATCATGAGCTCCATAAATTCTTTTCTGATTCTGTTGTTAAATGAATTCTCAAGGGTGTCAGTGGTTGAATACAATCTGGGACGAAAAGGGCAATCAAAAGTTGCCTGCTTCTGGAGTATTTTTGCATGTTTCTCCTGGGTACTGTGTAAATTACCATACCAAATCATGAATGTCAGGACAGCTGTTTTATAAATCTGATAAGTTTCCTGTTTAATAACACTTCTTGGAACTTGTTGCTTATAAATAGGGTTTTTTTTTTAAATAGAAAATGAGTGCCAGCTGGAGGATTATCATGTCTAACCATAAGTATTGCTTCACAGCAATCCAGAATTGGCTAGATGCTAAACCTCTGCCTCAGCGACCTTCCCAACTGTTCTCTTCACTAGCCAAGTTGCTCCTGGAAAAGATGGGAGGCTCTTCAGGAGCGGTGAGTGTTGGCCAAGTGGATTAGCTGTTAGTTGAAAATGAAAAGCAAATAGAACTACTAGATCGGAAGAAAGCAGTTAGAAATTGGGAACAACAGTTTTTCAATTATTAGTTTAATTGACAGCACCAGACTATGTTTTCTCAAAAAAGAAAAAAAACCATAAAGCAAGTTAGGACCTGGGTGGTACTTGAATGTGGGAACTTCCAGGAAACCTGAAGAGGAATCTCAGTTCATTTGCAAAATTGAAATAATATCTCAAAAGAAGGCAATATCAAACCATTCTATTTTGTTGTGTGCATAGAAGTATACATGGATTTTCCCAAATTACTAGGAATCAACCTTTAATTTATGGATTAAGAAATATAATCACATAAACATGAAAATATGTATTTATAATAATGTTACCTTTTAGAAAAACTGACAGAAGAATGAAACACTCAGATTATAGTTGAGTCAGATGTCTAGTTTAATTGACTACAATAAACAACGTACTACTTTATAAATTGGAAAAACTGAGAACTTAGATCTAAAGATATCAGATGGATGGAAGAATGTACAGAACAAGATATTATATTTTGTAATCATGAAATTCTATATGTGCAATTTTCCCTTTTTTAATTTTAGTCATGTAATGTAGAGCTCAGCAAATACTTAGAATACATTTATTTCATTTGCAGCTCTATGGATTATTTCTGACAGCAGCTGCTCAGCCTCTGCGGACTGATGATGACTTAGCAGCCTGGTCCTTAGCGATGGATGCTGGAATTAATGCTATTATGCGGTGAGTATAACTCTAATTATGGCTGATGAACTGTTCCTTTATTATTTGATAACATTTTATGTGTTTTCACATGTAAGAGTGGCATCATTTTTATAGAAAGTAAAGCAGGACTGCTGTGAGGAAGTACCATATCCATGTATATGATGTGATCCCAGTCACTTTGTTTCATCATCTTGTTATTATGGCTCCCAGCTCCTCCAAACTACAATATTTTCTATTGCTTTGTTTCATTGCATGCCTAAGCAAGGGCAACTTTTATAAATATGCTATATGAACTACCCATGGAGTACAAGGTTCATGGAGCTGTACACCCACACATATTGTAGAAACTATACTATTAAATATTTCCTCTGACAGGTATGGAGGAGCTGTACCAGGAGACAGAACCATGGTAAGAAATTTATCCAATTATCCTTATTGTTTTTGAGTTTCTTCTGTTAGTACCATGATGGCAGCGATATTCTCTTTCCTTCACTAGTGATACTAATTGCAGATTATAACATTTGTGATGTACTTAATGCTAGTAGAGTTATTAATGGGATTATTTACAGCTGTGAGGGGGCTTATGGACATTGGGGAGTGGTGATCACTTCTGGAGGATTAGCAATATCAGTAGCACTTAGACTTAATTTACTGCTTCATAGTGCTTTACAGCCCTCTCATAAGCAGTTTACAAAATCAGTATATCGCCTCAAACAATCTGGGCCCTCATTTTACCCACTTCAGAAGCATGGAAGGCTAAGTCAACCTTGAGCCAGTCAGGATCGAACTCCTGGCAGTGGGCAGAATTAGCCTGCAATACTGCATTGTAACCACTGCACCACTACAGCTCCCTGGAGTGTGCTTAACATTCCAAGATGAAACTAGCCCCCTCAGAGTCATTAGTTTAATCCATTAACAACAATTATTAGTTTAATTGTTGTCATTGTTGGAGATAGTGGAGGGAAAAAAAGGGCATGGAGGTAAAGGATAATTAAACATTGAAAACTAGTTTGGATGTCAGAAATGGATTTCTGCCTATTTCAGTGAGTTTGGGGCTGCTTTTGTGATCTTTCTTATAGAAAGCTAAGATTCATGTTTCTAATTCATTATTTCTGTGTTTTCTACAGATGTCCTCTTTTCTTCAGTGCATATGTTGCTTTTAGTCACATTTTCAGGCTCCCAAGTTCCTTTTTGATCTGTATAAAAGCATTTGAGTTCTGGGTACTATACATCACAAACTGTACATTTGAACTATGCAGACCATAATATTTATGCTGGCAATAGATATTTCAAAGATTTCCCTGTACTGTTTTTTTCAGTTAACTTTTTTGCTGAAATTCTACATGGCAAGACTGTATTAAATATATACTAAATATTAAATCTCCAGGGGCATATTCTATAGTTTTGTAATTATAGCCTCATATAAGTAATTTTAAATGTACACAGGTTGTCCTTAGATTATGATCAATTCGGTGACCATTGAAAGTTACAACAGTGCTGAAGGAATGGTAGTTATGACCGGTCCTCAAAGTTCCATTGCAATGGTCCTAGTTAGGTGATCAAAATTGGGCACTTAGCAGCTCACCTGCAATTATGACCATAGTATTTGCTTCAGCTCCCTTCCCATCTTTCCCCATCTCTGCCCTTCAGGCTGCACTTCACTCTGCCATCTACTCTTGCCACCTTTAACATCTTCCTCCCACTGCTGCCAAGGTGGGCCAAGTTATTTGTGATGTTCTCTTTTGGCTTCCACCAAGCAAAGTCAGTGGGGAAACCAGCAGGGAAGGTCACAGGGCATTCCTGCTGCTTTTTCTCCTGCCCACAGCATTCCCTGGACCCGTGTGCAGCCTTCCCAAGATCTCCCATGCTCCTTTTTCTGGGACTTTCTGCTTGATGACCTGAAGAGACTGGGGTTATAACCAAGTGGTATGTCTCATGATGGTATGGTTTACAAGTACATTGCTTTAGCAATGCCATTCCAGGTCCCACTTGTCATTGTAACCTGAGGACTATCTGTACAGCATTTTTCTCTCTCCCCTTTCCCTTCTGGTTGGCATTTTCCCTGTCTGTCAGAGCCAGCACTTCCAACTGAAAATGTTTGGAATTCTTATCAATTATAGCAAATCCTGGGAATTTCCTTCAAAGGTTCAGTTCCTGTCCAGTAAAGAATAGTACATCTTGCCACTATTGTTTGTCTAATATTCCTCATTTCTTGCCTAGTTGGATTCACTCTGGGCTGCTGCAAAAGAACTCAAAGCTTTGAAGACCCCAAAGGCTGATCTGATGCAGGTTCTGTCCAAGGCTGTAAACGTGAGTTTATTAGCATACATGCAATTCAAAGTTAATAACTTTTGCATAATGAGAGCAAAGATGAGGAACATGCAGTTTTCTTTCTGTTTCTTTATTGGAGAAGTGCTTCTTCAAGGCATAGGAACAGATATATGAGGTTAAGACTTTGGAGCCTTTTGGAAAGGGGATTCGGTCCAGGTTAGGCAAGGCATGAATTGGCATTGTTTTCTGCCAGCTCTTAGAAAGGAACTATTTAAAAAGATTCTTCTTGCCTCCAGGGTTGTACTTTGATAATCACCTAAAATCCTCAAGCATTTAAAATCAATAATCAAAAACTATAAGCACATTAAAGACTGTAGCAACAAAAAAGAACTCTAAACTTCAAATGATGTCTGTGTTTACAAATAGAGATGTGAAATTTTGGGTATTATATCTGTATAAAGAACAAATTTATGTTGTTGTTTTTCTCCAGAAGGCAGAGGCTGCTGCTGAATCTACAAAGAATATGGAAGCTTCTGCAGGCAGAGCCAGTTATATCAGCTCAGCTCAACTAGAACAGCCTGATCCTGGTGCTGTAGCAACTGCAGCCATTCTCAGGGCAGTGTTGGAAGGGTTGGAGGCTAAACCATAGTAACTTCGTGATATTCTTCCTTAATATAAATCATATTTTAATACTAGTTTAAATGTTCCAACGCTATTTTATCCCTGCTATGCAGGACTTACTAAATCCTGGTACTTTTGGCATGACAAGGTTTATTTTAACTTACAAAACTTTCCTGCACATCATTTGGCAGTGTTCTTGAAATGTAATGCTTGAGAACCGAGTTGTGTTTATATATTTGGGTCTATGTTTTCTTCATGCTTTTTGGATTTTGGCTGTTGCAGGGTCCTCTCTTCAAGTTGTTCAAGTTGTTTTTATGTGCTGCATTTCTTCGCTGTATACAAGAGGTGTTTTAAGTTTTGCTGAAATTATGTAATAGTACTTTCAAACAATATTGTAGCAATATAGCTTGAACAACTAAGTAAAATGTATGCAAAGATCTTCTAACTGTAGATACCAGGTGTATAAATATGCCAGAAACTTTATAAAATACTTGATAAACGATGACTAGTAGTCTAGATATTTTTAAAAAACAACAACTAGAACTGCTGAAATTGATACATTGACACATATACTTCTAAAGAGTGGTTGACCAAAGCAGATGCTGTTTTTGCTCCTTGTCTGCTGATTTTGCATATAGATCTCACTGGCCACTGAGTGAAACAAGATTCTTGACTAGTTAAATTCATTCCCTGACATACCGTGATTTAGGAGCACAGAAAGCCCCATCATTTCATACGTGCAATCATCACACTTGTTAAACTACTGCATATTTCTTTGCATGCAATACAGCTTATATAAATATGGAACACTTCAATCTAACTTATCTTGCATATATATATATATATGCTTCAGCTGTTATACAACCAATTAAAATGTACTCTGCTAGTAATGTTTAGCTAGTACTTAGATAACATTAAAGGAAGTTTGGCAACCAGACCTCTCTCGAGAGTTTCATAAATGGGATTATTTACAGAGAGTTTTTCAACTGTCTATTTAGCTATACAAAGAATGCATTATAGTTTAGATTGAAAGAAATTATCAGGTATATTTATCTGACAGCCAAGGATCCATGTTTGTAAAGGTAATATGATCTGCCACAAACCCCAAAGTTATTTCATCCAGGTAACTGCAGGCACCATTTTTAAATATTTTGCTAATAATATGATCAAGAACTCATTCAATATAACCAGAATGAAAACTAGGTGCAAAATTATAATTAATTACCCGTATTTAAATTACCTGTATTTAAATTGGGAAAAAACTTAATGGTGTTAAGGAAAATTTTTGAAAGGAATGTAGAAGAATAAATATACGTAAGATTTTATTCATTGTCTGATTATTTCTAAATAAAACCTTTAAACTAACTTTGTTTCAAGACATTTTTCAGCTATTTTGGAGCCAAGCATCTTATTTTAAAATGTAAAAGCAAAAGGAAATATCCTTCTAAGATTTAGACAAGGTAAATAATGTACGACTTCTCATTCTAGACATAGCACAGATGCGGTGGAAATAAACTAAGCTCAGCATGTGAGAGACAGAGGGACTTAGGGCAGAGTTGAACATAGTAAACCAAGAATCATTAGTAAACTTAGTAATTCAAGAACTTTAGTGAACCCATAGAACCTAGTTGATACGTATTATAACTCCAACTTCTAAAAATAGGATTGCTAAACTTGCGAAAGTTATCTTTTTGAAGTATTCAGGACAATTTTAGGTAAGAGAACTCTATTGAATGAAAGAAGCCAGTGAAACAGAAATAGGTAACACTATATGCTATAAACAGCTCAACAGAAATATTATTTTAATTTAATTATATATCAAGGGCCAGTCCTTGAATGTGTTCAGTTCACATTGTTTGATTAAATTCAGGAATTTCTTGTTGATTATGGAGAACAGCATAATCTTTTATTAGCATTAGTAAAAACGTGATTTAGCACGGATAAGAAGAGGCTCAATTTCCACATTAATAAGATAGAATATAGATATATTAGAAATAAGGAAGGCATCAAGGGCCCATTAATATTTTTTTCTAAATAAGATCTAATCCCATGATTTATAAGATGATATATCTTGTTAGACCAGACATGATCCAACGTAAAGTCTCACATTTAAACTCTAATGAAACATGGCTTAAAATAAGGTGATTAGATTATAGCTCTAAGAAAAAAGTAAAGTTAGCTATAGATTATTGTAATGTATCATGGTACTGTTATTTAATAGCTGACCAGCTGTTGTAAGGCTGCTGTAAATGCTGATGCAATTAGGATGAAACAGCATGGTTATTTATTTATTATTTATTGTATTGCTGCCTATTCGCTATGGTGACTCGAGGCGGCTTGCAGAATGTAAAACAATATTTAAAATAAAAAACAATAAAAACTAACAAAAAGAATCAAATAAATTAATAAAGTAAAATAGAACAAAATCTGGAAAAAAATAAATCAGAAATCACCAACTCCCATCCCCCATCCCGACAACAGCAGATCACATGAGCCATTTGATGGGCTCCATCCCATTCTGGGTTCCCGAGGCCCTCTGGCAGAACCAGGTCTCGTTATTGCCACTTTAAGACTGAGGATGGGTCCCACAGGGTTTTACCACTTTCAGAAGCTGTCTGTATATACTGTATGAAGCCATGAGAGGGCATACCTCTCTCTCCTTGTGTTCTGTCTCCATTGTGGTTCTCCGTACACAATAAAGAAGATTGATTGCTTACCAGTATTTGCCTACCACGTAAATGTATGTATATAGCTGTCTTGTATATAAACCACCATTAAAAGACAAAACCTCTGTGTGCTATGTTGTGCTCCTGGGTTGTCTCACAATAGTAGTCATGCTGCAAACACTCTGACAGGTTATGGGTCCAGTACAGAGAGAAGGTCAGAGTGACTGGAGAGACTAGAGAGAAGAAAAACCCAGTGGGAGCTTGCACCAGAGCCAGACGTGGTTTAATCATGGTTAGTGGCTTGTGAAGGAAACCAGGCAACATGGCCTCCATCAGCGTAATGGGAGGTTTCTTGGTGTCTCGACTGAATGAGACAAACCATCTCTCCTGAAATGTGAACATGGAGATGTACCTGCGGAGGGAGGAGTTGTGGATGATTACCAATCTACCGGCAGTCTTGGGATGATGGGGACCAGAGGAAAAATGAAAAGGCATTAGAAAGTATAATTCTGGTTTTTGAGGACAGTCAGCTGATACACGTGAGGGATCTCCAGTCTGTGAAAGAGTACTGGGAGGTAACAAGGTTGCATCTCCATAATACATTACACCAGCAGTTTCCCAAGTATAGTCAGGGATCCACAAAGTCAAATATCTTAAAATTTATCAGTTTTAATTTCTAACACAGTAAATATTAATTCCCTCAACACTGTTCAACTATTTACAAAATGTACACTACTATTACTGTTAATCTTCTCATCATTCCTTATCACCCATCCCCTCCCACTTGTGATCGTAGGACTGTAATTTTGTTGCTTGTATCCTTACGGTTTATATTGACTGTTTCCTAGTATGATTTGATTGTTGATTGTACCCTATGACTATCATTAAGTGTTGTATGTTATGATTCTTCATTCTTCACGAATGTACCTTTTCTTTATGTATACTGAGAGTATTTACACCAAGACAAATACCTTGTGTGTCCAATTACACTTGGCCAATAAAGTATTCTATTCTATTCTAGATATAATCCATATAAACCAAAGTTCTTCAGAATTTTCAATCATTTTTAACAAAATAAAGTGGTCCTGATACCAAAATGTTTAAGAACTACTGCACTGTGCCACAGTTGGTTTGCTTATTTGTCCAATCATATGAATCCAGTCAATGTGTTTTGTAAACCAAGGGCTAAGATAGTATGGGAGCCCAGTCATTTGTTTTGATAAACCAACATTATGCCTTTATGTGTTATATAAACACAACTTCTGTCGGTGAACTGGCAAAAGATTAGGCTGATGCATTAATGCACAAAATGAAAACTTTTCCCTTTCAATCAAGAAAAGGCCCTCTATACTAACTGGCTTCACTTACCATGTTAAACCAAAACTAACAAACTATGCTCTAAGATATGTGGAATACGAACAGATTCATATTAAAAAACACAGAAAATTATATCATATTCAATTAAAAAATAACGCAGCACTGAGATTACACATAAAGTATCTATTGTAGCATATCCTTTCACCCAAGTATCAGAAAAAGGCAGCTTTTCTTTAATTGATTATTTAGGATTTTAATTTCTAACACATTTTTCTAATGAAAAACACAAAAATCGGTGAACTTTATGGCATTTTAGCAAACAGATTCGTTCAAATGTGATTGAATGTCCAGCAATCGATAGTATGAACATTTCAAGTTTAAAAATCAGACCCAGAGGAACAAATCTGGATGTCTGTTAGCAGAAAAATCTTTTCTTACTGAATCAGTTCATGTGAGCTGCTGTACTCATGACGACAGCAGCAAGCAAGGATACAAATTTCAGTGAAGAAACCCTTACAGGTAGCACCACACAGCTGCTCTTTAATTCTTCATCTGGCTTCTGGTAACAGAGGCTGTATAGGACGCAAATCAGAAGTTGGATGCAATAAAACATTATTTTCCTATAGTGAAAGGGGATGTGCTTGCTCAAGTTATCTTTAAGATTTATATTCACATGTTAAATTCTGAGAGCATATTCCATGAAATCTAAGAAGTCATTTGTCTCATTTTAAAGATAAATAGAGGCACAGCCTGTATAATGTAAGTTCCTATGCCCTAGGTCTTGAAAAATGTTGTGCCTAGGTATCAAGAAATGAGTGGCTTCAACTATGAGTGATTGATAAGTGGTATTGTTGTTAAGTATTGCTAGGCTACAATTTCTGACAACTTCAACCAGTATGTATGGTGGAAAATAAATTCCTTATTTCAATGGTTAAATGTAGCTGTTTGCCATATATTAATTCACCTTTCAGTTTTCAAAATGACATTCGATTTAATTGGCCCATTCCATTTAAACTGAAATTTTGCCTGAAAGCTATCTACATTGCAAAAGTTTTGTTCCACCGGTTTAATTATTATTTTAAAGTTCAGGTTTTGGGACTAAATATTCCAGGTTTGAGAATTAAATACTTTAGATTTAGACTCAATAACATCTAATTGGCCAAAATGGTGACTAAATGTCATGGCAAGAGAAAGAGATTAATAGGTATAATTTTAACATTTTGTTTATGTATTAGCAAAATAAAATTAAGATTATGCAGTTATTTGTCTTTAAAATCTTTAGATTGCCGGAACTAATTTTTACCGGAGCAGCATTTACAAGTTGGTGATCCATAAGATAGGGATTGATCAATTAAATATTTAATTCTCACTTCATCAGATGTATGTCTTGTCTATGGAATTCTCCCCAGAAGAGTTTTCAATTCCTACCCAATTCTGTTATGTATTTCCTTTTGGGTGATTTTTGTTTGTTTGTTTGTTTCTTTGTTTTGTTTTGGTTGTTTTTTTTGTTTTTTTGTTAAGATGGTGACAGCAGCTGGGTGTGTTTGTGACATGATGCTCTGAAGTGTTGTGCAGAGAGAGTTTTGAAAATTTTGGAATATAGAGATTGGTATGTAGAAGAGGTGGAATGTTTAGAGAAAGGCAAAAGGGAGACAGGCATGATAAGCTTACTGAGAAGCTGGAGATTTGTTGGAGAAACAGAGAGGTGGAGAAGCAGAAAGGCGAGAGTTGAAGAGCGGAGAGATCAGAAAAGGGCAGCTGGAAGGTGAGATGGAGGAGAGGAGGTGGGTGATTTATGACTGTGTGGCTTCCCTGGACTTCCTCTTGATTCTCCTGGGCTTCCCCTAGATTCCCGTGGATATCTTTGAATTGTCTTCTATGTGCAGTAATCAGCTGGAGCTCATCCCTGGTCTGAGAGCCCAAGAGCTGGCAGCTGCAGCTCTGAATGATGGCATGGATCTTATGATGGAGGCAGAGCTGACAGAAGAAACAAACTTCCCTGCCCTTTGTCAGCAGCCAGGTCTACTCATGTGGTCACTAATGCTGTGGGGCGTGGCAGGCTGCCTTTGGGATTTTTTGAGGTTTAACTGGTGAATGGGAACTTGGAACTGTGTGAACCCCAGGAGACATCATACTACACATCTACAATATCTAATGCAGCATAGCAGGTTTTCTGGCCATTCCTCGGACTACTTTTGGCAATATTCTGAATGTTCTGTAATCAGGCCTGGGAAGGCTGTTCGTGGAATCCTGGGGCTGGAAGGGAAAGTTGGGTGAGAGGCAAGTGTGTTGGTCCCTTTCCCCTGGGTGAAAGCTGGGAGAGGAGTGGCTCCCTGCTTGATGGGTGAGAGCGACTGGGCAGGGTACTGCCTTAGGGAACCCAGAGCAGGATGGAGCCCATTATATGACTCGTGTGATGTGCTGTCACCAGGGTGGGAGGGATTATACTATTATATTAATTTATTATTTGATTATTCTCTTTTTATTAGTTTTATTTTTTATATATGAGATTTTTATATTCCTGTAAGCCGCCTTTGAGTCACCATGTGCGAATAGGCGGCAATCTAAATTTCCTAAATAAATAAATAGAAAGTACAGAGTATTCACTTTAAGGCATATTGTGGTTTAAAGGTTGAAGCAGATTGAAAAAACACCTCTTTCTATTTGATTCCCAACACCACCCCCATTCGACTGAGGTTGTCTGAGAATATTTGCCTCCCTTTGTCACATGGGTGACCACGTTCTTTGGAATGTGCTCGCATCTGAGTTTTGGTATAAGTTGTGTGTGTGTGTTCTGTTTATGTAGTATTCAAAAATACTTTTCAAAGCACATTAAAGAACCATATTCATTTTTTATAATTCATCGTAGCATAATTGCTCACCTGTCTAATGCCTTGTGAATTCACATCGGAACGTTTCCATCCTGGTATGGCAAGACCCAACAACACTAACACTCCAAACACCAAAATCAGCATTCCCAGAAAGTTGGCAAACCAAGCCTCTGCAGGAAGCTGGGAATACAGTGTTGTTGAATTTTTTCTAAGAAGACAGTCAAACAAAGTATTGGATGAAAACTTTTTAGGCCGTGGGTTCTTTTGTATAATCATCTGGGGCTTTATCTACCAGCTTTTTTGCTCTTGCAGGCTTCCAAATATTTACTATTGATGTCATAATACAAAACCTCGGCATTCTTATGGTATCCATTCCCAGCAGATCTCCATACATTAGTTCCACATTTTTACTTGCTATGTTGGAAAAACTAAATATACAAAGGCTGGAAATATTTCTATACCAGCTTTCCGGATCCCTGAGTCACCAGGAGGTGTTAAACCTCCTTTTCTGCAACTTCTAAATATGGAAGGTGCAAAATTGGAGGAAACTGATGTAGATATTTCAAGAAAAATGCTTGCCACAGGGAACTAATTCCTAAAGGCATCCCTGTAGCTGGATTCTGGGTGCCTGGTAAGGCTTTAGGAACACCTCCCCTTTATATTTAGAAGTATTTTGGTTACTGCCAAAATCCATAACAATTTCAGTCCAGATCAGCTTGAGTTTTCTTTCCTTTTTTCTAGATTGAAATTAATAAGCCAAATTAACTTGTCACCTCAGAGATTACTTGTTTCCTCAGAATCAAAAGACAAAACACAAAGACCCATTTCACTATGTCCTGATCAACCCATAACCAAATTCCATTACTCACAATCTCATGAATAACTTCTCATTAATGCCTGAGATGCAGGATGCGGTAGACAAACCAAGGATGACAGAACCAAAGAAAACATGGACAGGTTTGTAGAGGGCTCGGAACCAGATGGGCATCCAAGGCAACAAAAAAGAAGCAAATCCCATTAACCACTGGAAAGAAGAGACATGAATTAGAAATCTTACATTATAGTACCTGGATTGTACCTGAGCCTATACAAATTTACTTGTACATAGTTAGTAATGCCACTACGATAACATAGTGATCAGAAGTTCTTTTTTCCTCTCATCTAATTTAAAAAAAGATCTTCAAGCACACATGTACACAACATTTGTGAAAATATGATTATTGTATATGATTCCATCTCTCACAATACAGTAAGTGTTCAGCAGGCAACACATTACATGTTTCTTTGGGTCACACATGTTTCATATGCATAATTCTTTGGTTTAATCTCAAAAGAAATGGCCAATAGGAGAAAAGTAATCTCTCTGTTTATAGAATTAATTACTGGTGACAAGAAACTGAGGACGCACAAGATATGTAAAAGTACCATCAAACCTTTATTTCAGAAAAAGTTTAGCACTATTTGATTGCATATTAAAAATAAATTATTCACACCTCCACCTAATTGGCTTTCTCCCAGAGTCCTAGAAGCTGTCTTATATTAAACTGATTTTTCTAACCCACCACTATTATCTACATTGACTAGTAATAAGTCTCCAGAGTTTGAAGCAGGATTTCTTAATCCTTTCTGAAAATCAACTTTTGGAGGCAGGATATAATAAAAATAAAAGGTTGGGAGTTTCTGTAAATATTATTGATCTTGTTTGTTTGCAGCCTTTCATCTCCTCTCTCGGAAATTAGTGGGATATGTATATTTTTGACATAAATCAATCCATTGATATACTCTTACCTACCTGGCATGAAAAAAGTAGTACAGCAGTGAGCCCAAGCCAGCTGTGTAGAGAGTACATGTTGGGGATCTTCTGCACATTGTGAAACTTGAAGACTGCCTCCAATCCCAAAATGGCAGAGATAAATGCTATCAAAGTAAGTGTTGCATGCAGCACCTTCCAAGGGAGCTTGGAACCCATTTGGGAAAAGGGCAAACGATACACCAGTGCTGCTGCAGGGGGAAAAGGGGGAAACCATCAGAGCCAGGTGAATTGTTCTGGCACTATCGCCACTTAAACACCAAAAGGAGAGGAAAAGGACAGAGAAAAAATTTTTTTCACTTACCTATACCATATAAGATCACCATGCCTGTCACCATGAGAACTGGGTGCCAATTAAACATCTTACGAGAACCATCCCAGGCAAAGCCGCCAAACCAGTGCTGACTCCAATATACTGTAAGCCCCAAACACAAGATGCTCAGATTTCCCACAAGGATTGAATATGGTAATAGTGGAATTGTAGGCATCTCAATGCTACTTGGATGAACACCTGAGAAAATAAAGCAAGATACCAGAAACTGAACAAATAGTTCAGGTTATTGATAAGAAATTAAATTCCAAATCTCTTCTGCCAGCTTTCGATTCTTCTTAGTCAATGTTGCCTTCACCCAACTCCAAATGTCATTGCTTTCCGCTGTACAACATGTGCACTTCAATTTTACTATTTTTATCATTATCACCCGAGGGGGAGGGGCTAGAGAGAATGGGCTAGAGAAAATAGTTTAATGTATTTACCCATTAAAATTCATTGTTCAGAGAACAAAGTCTGTACTATCTCTGGGCTGATTCTACCTGGGTGGCAATATGTACAAAGCTCAGTTTAATTAATGGGATTATCGTCTTTTTTAAGTCCAGAAATGCTATGTACTCATATCACTAAATATCGTTTCTAGGGGAACTAATGAGTTTATTTTACAAAGGAGGGTGGGTGGAAGCCCTCTACAGATATTGCACCTGCAACCTCTGCTTCTTGAGAAAGACAGCAGTCATGACTTCACTTCTGCTTTTCAAGCAGAAGTTGAGGCTGAATTAAATAGCAGAAAATGTCCATTAATAGTTCATGATGATGACCGAAACTTCACTCTTTACAACTCACAAGTACCTTTATAGATGGAAAAAGAAAATGGATGTGCTTGGTCTTTTTGAATATTTTATTTAAACCTAGTATTTTCTCCAAATTGCCAGGCAACTTTTCAATACTTTTTCTAAAAATTGAGATTTGTATTGAGATTTGTATTTATAATGTTTGTGGTATCTACACATATATGCATACAACCAAATATCTTAGCATCTGCATCAAAGTCAGGGAGTGTAACACTGAAAGCCTTAATCAGAATAAAAGCTAATTTATGTTTGCTTTGTATGGCAATGAATTTAGGTAGCAAAATTCTAGTGCAGCCAAATTAATCTGGCTCAGCTCCTGCACACATTCTAGTTTATGTTTATTGCCTCTTTTTTCCTGATAGAATTGTAGATTAATTGAATTGGAAGGAACCACAATAACCCTATAGCCCGGCTCCCTGCAAAACACAAAAACAGAAACCAAACATGAGAAATGGTGGTGCAGCTTTTTTGGGAGAGAAAAAAACCCCAGAGTTGAGACTCTGAAACCATCATATGCTTCAGTGCTGTATAGATTTTCTGTCAAGAATTTTTTCCTGTTTTTTTTTAAATAAAATCTAAGCAGCTGCAACTCAATTAATTACTTCTGGTTCTAGTTTCTCAGCCATAGAAGACTCGTCAACCATATTCTGAATAAAATCTTTTTATATACCTGTGGAGGGCATAGAGAATGGTCTTGAAAAAGAGAAAAAAAATGGCTACCGAGTCAATGGTCAAATAAGAGGGGCTCGAGCTGGACCAAGAAAATAATGTGAATAAACATCTCAGACGGGCCCCTCCCTAGTTCATCCAAAGATAAAGTGAGGAAGAGGAGAAGTACATTCAGACTCGCAAGATTCTGTTACTAAAACTGCTACAATAAAAGTAGTGATGACCGATGTGGCATCGATTTCTCAGCCTGGTCTACCTTGTAGGACTGACAGTACCTAAAAACGCTTTATTAAAAATATTCCTTCTATCTTCTCTTCATTTGACAGTCTTTCAACAGATGTTTGGGGAGTTGAAACCTCCCTCCCAAAAACCCTTTCATGGTTTTCTAAGGTTTTGGTTATTTGCCAATAACCAATAAATCTTTATTTCAATGTATATGGTCACCCATCTCAACAAAGCTAATACATAGTGGTGGTGCAGTGGTTAGAATGCAGTACTGCAGGACTAATTCACTGCTCACTCCAGGAGTTTGATTCTGGCAGGTTCCAGGTTGACTCGGCCTTCCATCCTTCCGAGGTCGGTAAAATGAGGACACAGATTGTTGGGGACAATAGGCTGACTCTGTAAACCACTTAGAGACGGCTGTAAAGCAGTGTGAGGTGGTGTATAAGTCTAAGTGCTATTGCTATACATCACAGGTATCAAACTCAATTGTGTCATGTGACATCACGTGACATATAACTTTTTTGCCTTTGCAGAACCTAGGTGGGTATGGCCTGCGTGTGGCACATCCAGCCCACAGGCCACCAGTTTGACACCCCTGCTATATGTAATTGATAGCCATGGTTAAAAAATCAAAATAAACAGCAAACAAATCATCAGTTATTGCACAGACTTTGCCATACATCCAGAAGCTCAAGCTCTGTGTCAGAAACATGTCTTTAAGGCCTTACAGAATCCCAGCAGGGTCAGGGCTAATCTGATTTCACAGGCAAGACTCTACCTCTTCTGATTGGTTTTGAGTCAACATGCAAGCTACCTTTCTGTTAGCTTGCCAGATACTGCCCATGCTCAGGTTATTACCGTACCAATCCAATTGATATATGTAAAGTTAATTTACAACTAATTAAGCTAATTCCTGACTATATAATGCTATATCATGTCCACTTTGTACTGCCTGTTCCTCTAAAACAAAAGTACACTTGTCAAGATCAATGTTCCACTGATTGGATTCATTCCACTGTTTCTGTAATCCCTATTATGTATACCATACTTGTCTTTCTGCCTCATGATTCAGATCATCCATTTTTATTTATTTATTTATTTATTTATTTGATTTGCCAATTGTTTACAAGATAAGTATAAGTGTATACATAGTTGTGAATACATGAAATGGGTACATATAAGAAAAATAAAAGAAGAATAAGAGAAACAATAGGACAGGGACGGTAGGCACGTTGGTGCGCTTATGCACGCCCCCTACAGACCTCTTAGGAAAGGGGTGAGGTCAATAGTAGACAGTCTAAGGTTAAAGTTTTTGGGGTTTGGGGAAGAAACTACAGAGTCGGGTAGAGTATTCCAGACATTGACCATTCTATTGCTGAAGTCGTATTTCCTGCAATCAAGTTTGGTGCGGTTAACTTTGAGTTTGTATCTATTGTGTGCTCTTGTGTTGTTATGGTTGAAGCTGAAGTATTCATTGACAGGTAGGACATTGCAATGTATGATTTTATATACCATGCTTAAATCAGACCGAAGACGGCGTAATTCAAGGTTTTCTAGTTCTAGAATTTCAAGTCTGGTGGCATAAGGTATTCTACAACGAGTAGAGGAGTGGAGAACTCTTCTTGTGAAATATTTCTGGACTTTCTCAATTGTGCTAATATCAGATACGTAATGTGGGTTCCAGACAATCTATACTTTATCATTAGCATAGAGCAGGCCTGCACAGTTTGCAGTCCACCAAGCTGCTTTGTGCCAGCGTTTGTGGAAAAACAGTCAATCCACTGCTGCCAACAAGGTTTTTGCAATAATTTCCAATCCAAAAGACACGCTGTCAAATATCTCCGGCCTTACAGACATTGCTAGTTGCAACACTGCCAATGGGCTGCCAGCTGTTCTTTTCTGGCCTGCAGTTACTTTAAAAGTATTAATCTGCCACTTTTGACTTCCAGAGAGTTCTGCAGATCTAGCATAGGGACATTTCAGATAATTAGGATAGCTTCCCTGTGTTTCTTTTTCCTTTATGTCTACCTTGCTTTTTTAAAACTGGCAGATCCCAAATTATTTCACTTTGCTGCTGTATTCATTTCATTTACTTGGCAATTGTTTACTCATCACTGGTCTTACAATTTCCACTGACTTAAGAGCCTCCTATCTAGATTAGCTCTCCATCATCAAAAATGTACTTTCTCACTTTAATGAGATGAATTCTATCTTTACACAACAGGCCATTCACTTCAAACCTATATTGTTTGCACCAATGTTGTGAACAAAAGTTTTTTTTTCTTTTCAGTTCCTGGACTTTTGCCTTCAAAAAGTTTTTTTTTATGATACCATCATCTTAAACCCAAGATCCTTTACCCTTCACCCAAAACTATGAAATCACTCTTGATATGCTGGAGATTATGCCTTGCAGTCTAGTACTCCCATGGTTGAGCACAAAGGTCTGTGATCAGTTTATATGAATTCCATCAATCTTTCCATCACATTTCATATTTGGACATGAGGGAGACATTATACATGACAAGATGAAAGATTTCAATGATAAATGGAAGCTTCAATGCCTCAGAAAGTGTCAGCTGCAACAACAGTCTTTGTTTTGTTCTCTATAAATTGTGACAGATTACTGTTACTTTGATCCAGTGACGAGTTTTTGCTGTGCGAGTTATTTGTAGCTGTCTTACCCGTATAGGAATTTCTTTGAGGTTGAAACTGGGTGCCAAAGTTTAGAAAATGAAAAGAGTTTTGTGGTTGTTTTGTTCTGATAGTAATTTATTGTCAGCTGTTTTTATTTCCATCATTTGGGTAAATTATAAACTTCACATTGCTCTCCTACTTGCAGCATCCACACTACTATTCAATAAGTGCTCACATAAGTGCGCTCTCATAGAATCGGTAGGAAAATTTTTTGAAACCCACCACTGTTTCTAATGAAGCAGAGCGCGCAAACAGCAGATCCAACAACTAGTAAGTGTGCGGCACTCTCCTAGGGAAAATAAAGGAACTTTGTCGATTCGCCAATCAAAATCCCAGGAAGACCGAAATTGGCAAAAAAAGAAAAAGCAACAGCAAGCAAAATCTTCTTGCGCAAAATACCAGTAGGAGAATATGCTATACTCTTTACAAGAATGAGCATGTGGTTGACTGACAGTCACAATGATTGCCGATATTAAAGAGTATTACTACTCTCTTCTTCAGTCCAATTACAATGAAAATGCACGCCGCTTTTATACCTCACTTCCGCCTAAGTCGCAGAGAGAGTCGGGAAAAGTAGTTCCAGACCTCAACAGCCCCTTCAACACGGTCTTCGCCGTTCATTGAGGACGAAGAACTTAAGCCCTCTGTTCCCAATGAACATTTCCGACTGCTCTGAATGTCTGGGAAATGTAGTTTTCTTATGCACACGTGCGGTTTGGAGCAAATCTCTTTTTCTGGAAGATTTAAGTTATCCCGCCTTTTTTTTCCCGCGTCTTCGTTTATTTTTGTCTTTAGTACTTTTTTATTGGTGTGTTTGTGTATAAATGAACTGCAAGCTTCCTGAACAAATTCAGTCTCCACGCTGCCTTCAATTGCCTGCCATGCACACGTTAATTGCAAACAAGTAGATAAATAGATGGAAATGTTTTTCACACACTAATTGAAAGATTAAGATTCCTAGCATGAATTATTAGCTGCCTCATTATATGCCTAAATCCAGAAGCTGAGCTTCCATATTACAGAAAATATGTGGCTGGTTTCTTTTGGGTTATGATGATCCAATAAAGTGAGCTGCGCTTCACAAAAGCCTTTTAATAAAATTTGTTAGTCGGAAAAGATAGTACCGATCTTTAGTATTAGAAGTGGACTACATTTACAGGACTGCATTACTGTTGTTATTGAACTTGTGCATCCCCCGAATTTCCAACTGATCTGGACGGCTCACATAATTGTTGCTGCACTGAAATTACAACAAAATATAAACAAAGATTAAACATGGTAAGCATGTGGAAGGCTATTTGCGTTGGCCAAATATTATTTTCAGTATCCTCATGGAGAAAGCCTGTATGATCGCCAGGAATCGAGAATGATTTGATGGTACATGAACAAAGCAAACATTCAATGGGAACGCGAAAAGAAATTCCTATTCCATAGAGCCCATTGTTTTGCTTAATGATGGAGAAAAAGCGGGGAGTTCTTGCCACGTCAATAGCACCACCCTCCTTAGGCTGCTTGAGGATAAAGACGATGGTTTGGTCGGGAAAGCACCCAACCATCCCGAAGTTACTCCTCGGTCTCTAGGCATCTATGATCTCTGCGGCCCCGGCTGCACTTCCGGGCCTGCTGGCTCCGGCGCCTCCTCCGAACCGCTTGCGCTATCGCCATGGGGACCGATTGTGGCGGCGCAAAGTAACTGTCCTGCGTCGTTTGCTCTTCGTCGGGGGCTGCCCCGGCGCAGCGACTCCGCTCCCTCCGGTTTCTCGTGTCTTAACACGACGAGGAGCTGTGTTCGATTCCCGAAAAGGTGTAAAGAGGACTCCCAGGGGAGGTCTCGTAGCCTCCGGTTGAAAGGGGCTTGTGTAACACAGGTAAGTCCTGCATTTAGTGAAGTCCTGTAGCTTAGAAGTGGGCGTTTCCCCTTTTCCCACGTAAGTGGAGATCATCAGCTGCCTCCCCCCCCCACAAAACCCCCATGGTCTCTTGTCCCAGGTCTAGAAATGCAGGTTGATCATAGGCCATGTTTTTGGTTTCAAAAGTAATGCAGTGTTCTATTCCGTACCAAGTATAAACATTCTGTTGACAATTTAAAAAAATCAGAAATAAAGAACCAGTTTGCTGTGACTATTAAGATACCAAGCTAGAAACCGGGAGACCCGTGAGTTTCAGTCCCTCTCGGCCCTTAAAGCAGGCAAGGGCGACCAACCTCGGAAAAACTTTGCCCAAAAAACCCTGCAGGAATTAGTCCAGGCAATCATCGAAAGTCAACACTGACTCGAAGGCACCAAAAGGAAAAGAAAAGAAAAGGGATTTTCTTTGATTTAGCAAGATATCCTTTTTTGCCCTTCTTCAAGGAATAGTGCTTGATCATTTTTCGGTACCTGGATCTGAACTGTATGCATCTGGCACCAATTGATAAAATGCCTGTTTCTATCTTTCATTGTTACTTTTGTTTCCCTTTACTTTTCCATCCCAGCAAATCCATCTGGAGGAAGAAGCTTGCCTCTTTCGTAACATGAATATAAGCTGGTTCTGCTGCCTGTAATGCAGAAGCTGAGATCCCAGAATCTTAGGGAAGAAAAATGCTCCAGACTAGCAATTACAGCCTGGTGCTGTCTTTGCAATTCCTCCTCCTGTCCTATGATCTCTTTGTCAACTCCTTCTCAGAATTGCTTCGCATGGCTCCTGTCATCCAGCTTGTTCTATTCATGTGAGTAGTAAAGACTTGCATATGCTTCTTAGTACATATTTTTTTCAGAGTTACTTGGTTCTGTTATAATAACAGCAACAAAGAGAAAGCAGCGAAAGAAGGTTCTGTAGCTTTTAAAACTGTTATCAAGACCAAAATGGTCCATGAAGGGAACTGTAGATATTTTTGTAAGATTTTCTATGAGATGTTCATAGAGAAATGTTTCAGTCTGTACCGGACTTTTTAATTAATGAATCATATTTATGTGGCCGCCCATTTCACAAATGTGATTCTAGGTGGTTTATAATAAATTTTAAAAAAAACAAGCCATAAAAACAAGCCATTTGATCCCATATGCATAAGACTGCAATTTTAGGCTAGGAAACAGAACACTTGAGAGCCAATTTGGTATATTGGTGGCTTAAGGCACCAGGCTGGAAACTAAGTGATTGAGTTCTAGTCCCACTTTAAACAGTCAAGCAGTGATGTGGAGCTGGTGACTTTCTACTATTTCTGGGAAGAAGGCAAGCCAACTTTGAAAATATTGTACAGAGAACTCCAACAACTTATACAAGTTGCCCATTTGCCAAAAATTAAGACTAACTCAGAGCCCCCCCCCCAAAAAAAACCCCACTGATCAAAGAATAATATCTACTGGGTAGCTTAGAATGTACTTTGGAATAAACATTCATAGAATTGTATTTTTAATTTCTGCTCTTCCAGGGTTACTTTCATTCAGGAAAACATAGAGAAAGCCAGACAACAGTTGATTGATGTGAAGTAATAAAATAAAAAATATATATTTTTAAACATTATAACATTGAATTGTATAGATTATTGGTAACCTGTGCTGGTTTGAACAATGTATTGAAATGTTGCTATATGTATGATCACTGTGCTTGGGGAACAGCAGAGAAAAATGGAACTGATGGCAAGCAGGGAGCTCAATGTGACTCTTATTTCCATGGCAGTCTTTTAAACAAGAGCTTTGGGATCTCCTTTTCTTGTTATTAATGAAACAGTAATATCCCAATGGAAAGATACACAAAAGAGATTTCAGTAGCCCTGTTGCTGTATTCTCTACTTGTAAAAATCAAGTCCATTTTTGTAGGACGCATTGATGTAGGGGCTACATCAATATCTGTTTCATTAAAAAAAGTTTTTTTTCCCTACAGCATTCAAGATATTACCATCCTCTTCAATGTCATCATCATCTTTCTCATGTTCTTCAACACCTTTGTTTTTCAAGCCGGCCTGGTTAATCTTTTGTTTCACAAATTTAAAGGAACTATTATCCTGTCAGCAGCATACCTTGCTTTGAGTATATCTTTTCACATATGGGTCATGGTAAGAAACAGTTATGTTTGGCTCTTAAAGAGGTTTACTTATCTTGAATATTGGAATTAGATAAAATTTATATTGAAATCCATTGTACGCGAGTAGTTTATTTTCCCTTCACTGAATTCAATACACAACTGTCCAGTATGCATCAGTATGTTCAATACACACTGATGGGCTGTTGTGTTTTCTTTGCATTAAACCTATAATAATAATAATTTTCTTGGAAAAATGCTGATAAGGATGAGAGTGGGTAGAAGAATGTGATTTTCCATGTGAGCCTGTTAAAGGTTTTCCATTTGTGACTAACTTAGGAAATTTAAAAGTAGAAAAAAATAAATTGGATACTATAACATGCAGTGCAATGGATAAAAATATGAAATTCCTGCAATCTTTTCCAAAATGCTGGTTGTAGATTTCCATGTTTATCTCTACTACATTAGTATGATCCCCCTCAAACAAGCAGAGAAGTTACTATTTCTGTACATAATCCGTGTATGCATAATTTGTAGAATAGAAACTAATAGTAAATTGGATTAGGGAATTTTCAAGTCTAGAGAATTAATTATACAATTTAATATTGTATTAGGTTATCCTTTCCATTATGGATCAGCAGTAATCATGTTTTATACTAGTCTTGTTATTGTTTTTGTTCTATAGCAGTGTTAGGTTAACATCCTCTCTTCAGCTGATCAGTTACATAAACTCTGATGTGGCATGTGTGACTAAGATGTAAGTTAAAATGCAAGTAGTGAAGTATCCAGGAATTTTCCTTGTATTTTTTAAAAAAGTTAAGTCTTAATTTAAAATAAATTTTATTGCCTTTTTTACACCATATGCCAGGAGTGTCAAACTGGCGGTCCGTGGGCCATCACTTGCAAGCCACAGCCACCCCAGTTCTGTGAAGGGGAAAAACATCATGAAATGTCATGTGATGGCAACGTGACGCTGCAAGTTGGACACTCATGCCATTTGCTAATCTATGGTTGCCTGAATTACTCCAGGTAGCTAGATTTTCAAAATACACTGAACCTTAAACTAATCACTCTATGCCATATGCATTTTAGGCAAATTGACAAATTCTACCATTTTATTATTATTGATTCAGTTGACATTTCTAGCTAGACCAAAGAGGACTTTCAGTTGATTTTCCATAGTAAATTTTTATCTATGATGCTTTACAATTTTGACAATTCAGTCTTTCAATTTCATCTCACATGGGTTCATATACATGAATTGGTCAAGTGTTTTCTAGTATTTTCAAATAAATAGAACTTTTATTCTTGATGGGTATAATTTATAATGGGGAATGTCTCTCACTTGCCATAAGTATTTACATTGGTGATTTATATGATCCTTAAAATATGTGCTATTTATATCTACGGTAATTGAATGAGAGCCCTAGCAGTGGTTGCATATTTTGTCCATAAATGCCCTATTACAGTTTGATAATGTTGCCAATATTATATTTACTAAATTGTAATACCAAATACTCTTATTAATATACTGCATCCTCTAAGTGAGTTTATCCCTTTCAGTCTTTATAAATGTTGATTTTTCTAGGCAGTATTGGTGGACATAAAACATGTGCAACAAATAAGAGTATTCTAATAAAAAATATAAAAGTCCTGCACTCTTAAAGTCAGTCGATATTTATTTGGGTTGAGGAAGAATCTGTGCTGCTACTTTTCTTTTGTGGCTCTCTAATGACCCTTATTAAGATGTAACAAATCTTAATGTAACAATTTCATTTACCATTACAGAAACCTGTGGACTTATTTGGTATAGCGGATAATGTGGTGACGTAAAAAGCAAGAGATTGTACGTTTCTAGGCCTGCCTTAGGCATGAAAGCCAGCTCGCTTGAGCCAGTCATTCTCTCAGTCCAATCCAACTCACAGGGTTGTCATTGTGGGGGACTTCTGGGGGAGGTATGGTGAACTTAAGACATCTTTGCAAAAGTGGAGCTCTGTGGCTGTCAAGGAACCAGTGAGTAGACCAATCCGTTTGAATTTCTTCATATGAGGAGTGAGAGATCATCTACTATGCTCCAAACAACTGTTCCTCATGAAGAGGTCACAGGATAGTGGTTTTCCATGAACGTTGAAAGAAGGGATCAGCCATCTGGCTTGAAACTGCAGTGGAACCTTTTAAAGGATACTAAGTTTGCAACTTTCTAATCTCTTGTTTGGAAATCACCTATTAATAATCTTAAAGCTATTATAGACCATTGGAATAACAAGTGTGAAAAATCATTGGGTGAAATTACCTTCAACTCTGAACAAAAGAAACATTAAAAAGTTAAGAAATTAAAGAATTTGAAATAAATAGCAAAAAGTTTAATAAGATTTTGATCTAACAAAGTTATAAATGGATTAAGGGTCCAGATCAATTTTGAATACTGATTTTGCTAGAAGATTTTGGAATTAACTCTACCAAGTAAACAACTTCTTGTGGCAAACAAGATTTATTTTGATTATCCTGGTAATTGCAAGTCATACCAAAAGATAACTGATGATTTTAGAAACTGGACATTAGATGGGACTAAAGATTTTAAGTGTAAGAGAAAAAATACAAAACCTGTAAGTACTCTGATTTACAGAATGATAAAAAACATAACATTGGAAACATTAAAGGAGATCTTTAAAGAATGGATCCTGAAGTTAGTAAGTACAATAAAAATACTGTCAGTAATGATGTCTGCTTCTGTGGATAGATTATAAAAGATGTTAATGAAGCAATGACGGATGTGGAACAGATTTTATTTGACAAGACAGAGAAAGTACCAAAAGTGGAACTACAAATGGCAGGCCAAAAGAATTATTTGCAAAAGGACACCTTATTGTATATACAAAAGAAACTGGCTATAGTTTTTGAAACTAAAAGGAAATATACATAATAAACCAAGAAAATGATCTGTAAGATGTTTTCTTATTGGATATATAAAGGAGGCTTGTTAGAAAACGGATGTGATGAAGAATTGAAGAGAAATCAAATCCCTCAACAATATTTGATTAAACATTAAAACTATTAGAAGTAAAAGGAAGGAATATAGTTTATTTGCTCAAGCTTAAAAATAAAACCTCCCCACCCCCAAAGTTCTGGCAATCCTTTAGGGGCTTTTGCTGACATCAGGATTGAAAAAGTTGATGTTTTATGGATTTACTTATAGATAATGAATGGAATATGTGATGGAGAGAGATCTCATAAGAGTGAAGGTTACTAAATTTGTTGATACCTGCTTGATGTGGGTTAGAAGTTATTTATATATTTTTCTTTTTCTTTACTGTTTGTTTTCTTTACTTTTTCTTCCTTTTTTCCTGCACTTTTTAGTATTTTTCTTTTTTCCTGCTCTTTTTATATTTTCTCTTCTCTTTCTTTAAGTTTAGTTTGTGTTAGTAATAAAATATATAGATGGCCCCAAAATACAACTAGTTTTTAATTAGTTAATCTCTTATCAGATGTCAGAGCCCATATCTGTATCTTCTCATCTCTTAGTTTGAACCTTTTGTTCTGCATCTGTTCTTTAATTGATTTTTATGCTTCTTCCTATATTGAAACTAATATTTTTCATGCAGTTTGATAAAGCTGTCCCACTTGGAGAGCAATCTAGGTTCAGTTGCTTAGACTGTTTGGGCCAAAACCTTGCTTAGTCAGGATTTTAAGAGGATTTTGTGGGATTTATTGTGGGTAGCTAGAATAAGTCTGACGTACTTTATAAATCTGATGGTCCGATTAACCTTTCTATGTTCCTTGGCTTCTCTCCAGCACTCTTCCCATATGGTATCTGAATGCTTAATCCTTAAAACAGATTTGAAGGAAGGGATGGTTTTAGTTATCTGTTGTATTTTAGTTTGATTATAACTAAAATGGAAACATGAGTTCTAGGGCTTCTCAGGGGAAGGAGCAATATGGGTACACAATTTTCCAATTGATTCAGGTATTTATGAATTTTATGTAATATACTTTACTTTCTGGCTTCGCATTTTGTATTTGAATATGTTTTAATTGAAAAAGTGAAGACCTATTGTATTTTACAGAAGTTCTAGAAAAAAGTTAAGATGTTATAGAGCAAGAAATTTATTTATGTATTTGTTGCAAATATGCCTAGTCTTTTCTCTAGGCTTAGGAGATCAGAGCCTTTTCTGTTCTATTTGTAGATTAGACTGAGATTTCTCCAAAGTCACTACATGGATGGGATTTGAACTGTAGCTACTACATCAAAGCAATATTTACATCAATCATTGGGCTGCTGCAATTCTTGCTTGCTGGCAGAGCCTCTCCAGTTCTGTTTAAAAAATCTTGAATGTTGGTGGTGGCCTCTTAAATTGGCTTATGTTCAGAGCTGTTGTGACTTCCATGTTGAGATGATATGGCTTGAAATAGCCTTACAAGATTTCATTTTCCTTCTCTCAATTGCTACACACTTTTTAGCAGCCCATTTTCTTGCTTTTTTAATGACTTTTTTTTTATGAATAAGGATTAACTTGGCAATAAACTGTACAGGTATCTACATTCCTGGTCTTCCAAAGCAGGGGTCGCCAACCTCTAAGGGACCACCAAACTCATAATTTTAAATCCCATGGACCAGAGACCCTGGGAAAATCCCAATAAAAGCCTGCAGGAAAATTCCCAACCCTGTTTTCCTACCAATCAATCTTTCTTTATTTGGGATCTCAGGATATCGTTTCCAGCTCCCTTCTCGGGAGAGGTGGAGACTTTTGGCTTCATGCAAGGAAAGCAGCAGAAGCAGCAGAAGTCTTTCTTTCTTTGCCCCCAATTCCACCAGAAATGATTCTTTGCTGGCACAGCCTCTTGGAGTAGGATGCCTTGCAGGGTCCCAAAGACTCGTTTCTGGTGGAGTTTGGGGGAGAGAAAGACACTTTTGCTGCTTTCCTTGCGTGCAACCAAAAGCAGAAGAAGAAAGAAGCGGAAAAAAGCAGCCCGGTAGCCAGTTCCCCCCCTCTGCCCTTTCCCCCCTCCCTTCACTACCTTGTGTTGTTCGCAGTGCAAGCAATGCAAACCTTGTGTTCCCACGGGCCATGTGGGTGGCACAGCCTTATGTTCCCGCACAGCCTGGATTAATTGCTTTGGGGGGTACATTTGGGGTGACATTTCTCTGCAGACCACCAAAATTTTCTCGCAGACCACCAGTGGTCCCCAGCCCACTGGTTGGTGATCACTGTTCCAGAAGGACAGGGGAAATTACTCTGCCAGGTATTCCTATCTTCAAGCAATCCAGTTTCTAGTGATGGAGGCAGCTGAAAGAGAAGGTTTTCCTTGGAGGGAAATCTATAGGACCTATTGCTGCAATGTGCACTTGACAAAATTATCCTGAGTGGAACATTAGTGCAATATTATCAAAGTTAGTTTTTTCAATTCATATTGCCAGTTACACATGTGCATCAGTTTAAGAGGGGATCTTCTACAAAACAGACCTCAGTGAGAAAGAATTGTAGACATGTAAAAGCCTAAGATAGAGGGGGGCAATCTAGGATTTGAAGTCTATGTATCAGGTCAAATTAGTCCATCAAAATAAATTAATTGGGGGGGGGATCTTTATCCCATTCTTTTTCACTCCTGTATAACAATTAAAAAAATTAATTCCTCTTTTATGAAACTTGACTGTGTGGAGTGGGCAATAGTTGGGGAAACTGATATTAAGTGAATGTTAAGTTTTAGCTATAAATTTCCCATTAGAACTATCTGTCAGTTAGTTAACTAATGTCCAGCTGGAAAAGTGGTATTGGGAATCAATATTAAAAGGTAAATAAAATTTCTGGATAAAATCAAATTAAATCCTGTTACAATCAAACAATGTATAAACCAGTGTATGATTACTTAAAGAAGATACTAGTTTTACTGGGACTTACTATGGGCATATGTTTTCATTCTGTCTTTGACCAAACAGTAGAAATTTGAACAATTAGCATGAGAAGTGTTTGAAAACAAAGCAATACATGGGGATTAAGTACACATTAAACTATACTGCATATTTACATTTGTAGAATGTTTAATTATTTGATGATAAACTACTGACATCTCAAGAGGATAACCTTATGCTACTTTCCAATTATAGAAATATTGGATATAAGGTATTTTATGCTTTCTATGCTTTTCTTTTTTAAATAGAACTGCCGCTGGGAAAATTCAAACATCTTTGTATGGACTAATGGGATGCAGGCTTTATTTGTTTTCCAGAGATTAGGTAAGAATTAAGTTGTATCATTTCCCTTTGTGTCATGACTTTTGAACTTTTTAATGAAAACAGTGTAGTCAGCATTTATAGACTGCTCAAAAAAATAAAGGGAACACTTAAACCACACAATGTAACTCCAAGTCAATCACACTTTTGTGAAAGCAAACTGTCCACTTAGGTAGCAACACTGATTGACAATCAATTTCACATGCTGTTGTGCAAATGGAATAGACAACAGGTGGAAAGCATAGGCAGTTAGCAAGACATCCCCAATAAAGGAGTGGTTCTGCAGGTGGTGACCACAGACCACTTCTCAGTTCCTATGCTTTCTGGCTGATGGTTTGGTCACTTTTGAATGCTGGTGGTGCTTTCACTCGAGTGGTAGCATGAGACAGAGTCTACAATCCACACAAGTGGCTCAGGTAGTGCAGCTCATCCCGGATGGCACATCAATGAGAGCTGTGGCAAGAAGGTTTGCTGTGTCTGTCAGTGTAGTGTCCAGAGCATGGAGGTGCTACCAGGAGACAGGCCAGTACATCAGGAGACGTGGAGGAGGCCGTAGGAGGGCAACAACCCAGCATCAGGACCGCTACCTCCGCCTTTGTGCAAGGAGGGACAGGAGGAGCACTGCCAGAGCCCTGCAAAATGACCTCCAGCGGGCCACAAATTTGCATGTGGCTGCTCAAACGGTCAGAAAAAGACTGGTGGTATGAGGGTGGTATGAGGGCCTGATGTCCATAGGTGGGGGTTGTGCTTACAGCCCAACACCGTATAGGACGTTTGGCATTTGCCAGAAGACACCAAGATTGGAAAATTCCACTTCACAGATGAAAGCAGGTTCATACTGAGCACATGTGACAGACGTGACAGGGTCTGGAGACGCCGTGGAGAACGTTCTGCTGCCTGCAACATCCTCCAGCATGACTGGTTTGGCAGTGGGTCAGTAATGGTGTGGAGTGGCATTTCTTTAGGGGGCTGCACAGCCCTCCATGTGCTCACCAGAGGTAGCCTGACTGCCATTAGGTACCGAGATGAGATCCTTAGACCCCTTGTGAGACCATATGCTGGTGCGGTTGGCCCTGGGTTCCTCCTAACGCAAGACAATGCTAGACCTCATGTGGCTGGAGTGTGTCAGCAGTTCCTGCAAGACGAAGGCATTGATGCTATGGATTGGCCCGCCTGTTCCCCAGACCTGAATCCAATTGAGCACATCTGGGACATCATGTCTCGCTCCATCCACCAACGCCACATTGCACCACAGACTGTCCAGGAGTTGGGGGATGCTTTAGTCCAGGTATGGGAGGAGATCCCTCAGGAGACCATCCTCCACCTCATCAGGAGCATGCCCAGGTGTTGTAAGGAGGTCATACAGGCACGTGGAGGCCACACACACTCCTGAGCCTCATTTTGACTTGTTTTAAGGACATTACATCAAAGTTGGATCAGCCTGTAGTGTTTTTTTCCACTTTAATTTTGAGTGTAACTCCAAATCCAGACCTCCATGGGTTGTTAAATTTGATTTCCATTGATAATTTTTGTGTGATTTTGTTGTCAGCACATTCAACTATGTAATGAACAAAGTATTTAATAAGAATATTTCATTCATTCAGATCTAGGATGTTTTATTTTTGTGTTCCCTTTATTTTTTTGAGCACTGTATAAATAGGACAGCATATGAAAAATGTAGGAATTGTCAGATATCTACCGTATGTCAGACATTAGATATATGTACAGTCATCAGCCACTGATTCTTTGAGTTAAGGCAAACCTTTCCAAGCCTTCTATGAAGATGCTGGAGTTTGCATGCAAACCACCTGCCCTTTTACAGATTTGCTAGTAAATACTTGTAGAGGGTTTGGGAATATTCCCCCAAACTAGAAATCTTCTCGGAGCAATGGTGCCATTTCCTTGACTGGAGGAAGTTGGAGAGCCAGTTTGGCATAGTAGTTAAAGGCACCGAAGTAAAACACTGGGAGACTGTAAGTTCCAGTCCTGCTTTAAGTATGAAGCCATCTGGGTAAGTCTGGACCAGTCACTCTCTCTCAGCCCTAGGAAGAACATAGTGGCAAATCACTTCTGAAAAACGATTCCCGGAAAAATTACAGGGACTTTTCCATAGAGACATCAGGAGTCAAGAATGACTTGAAGATACACAAAAAAGGGAAGTGGGGAATTGGGACTTTGATAACACAATCCTTTTTTATTGCAGTGGGTGTATTATATTACTATTTCTACAAAAGAACAGCTATTCATCTGGGAGACCCACGTTTCTATCAAGACTCAGTATGGTTACGGAAAGAGTTTGCTCATGTCCGCAGTTGAGAGCTACTTCTGAATTATATGGAGCTGCTGGACTGTTAAAGAGACCTCAATCAATATCCTGGAGCAAGTTTTCTTCTCATTTTTTTATAGTCTGGATATTAACTTTATATGATGATTTAATCCACAATACTATTCTTCTGTGGAGTCTCTATCACTACACAATTATCAGGCTTCCCATTTATCCTCTCAGGTCTGCATACTGCACTTTCAGAAGTTGGTTACAGTTTTTTGAGGAATATATGAAGTGCCAAATTGGTTTGGCTGAGAACTTTCAAGTAGCAGCAGTACTGCAGTTTATTTTTGTAAATGTTCCCTTAATCTGTTTGCTGCCTCTGATTAAAAGGTTCCCTTGTCTTTATTATGAGCAATGTGATTAGTTCCAAACCTTCACAGTAGGCAAATGTATTCTCATTTACTTTTTTCTTTTGTACTTATTTTATAAGCTATCAGAAAATAAACCTGCCATTTTGCAATAATCATAGTGTGATTCAGATTTATTTATTTTTTGTAGGATCTAATAGTAACAAAGGGTTCATGCAAAGTTAAGCTTTGGAATAATATTCTATGTGCATATATTCATTTTGTTGCCATTGAATCAAATTGTAATACTCCATTATAAACAGAATCAGAAAAAGCAGCATATTTAACTGGGTTAACTGAATATGCAAAGTCATGATTTATTTAGCCTTGGTTATTTGCATAATATACTAAGACAAAAATAAGGTGTGTATTATCTAAATAGAAGTTCAATAAGTTCCAGAGTTGGGTATAATTCAGATTAAGATAGCAAACCTTACATATTAAAACAGAAAACCCAGCTTTATATTTTAGAATTATAGATTGGAATCCTATGGCGTGTTAGTACTAGGAATCCAAATTAAAGCATCTTGGTAGGTAACTGTTTAGCCTCTGCTTAAACATACGAGGTGAAAAACAATCTATAACTCAACTTGATAGTTTGTTCCACTACTCTTGTCTAACAATTTATTTTCTAACATTTAATTAGAATCTGCCTCCTTGTAACTTTAATCCATTATTCTAGTTCTGCACTATGGAACGATACAGAACAAGTCTTAACCCTCTGTGTGACATTCTTTCAAGGTTTCAAAGCAGTGGTTGGATTCAAATATTTTTGCTTAGTGGGCACGCTTTGCACGCGTGCACACAATTTATGTGCATGCAGGCACCGAATGCGCACTCTGCGCAGGCATAGAGGTGTTCTAATACGCCTCCTGCAAACCTGCACGATCCCGGTCGCTTCAGCAGCTGCCGCGCAGCACTATTCTGTGTTATGCAAAGCAGCTGCGCTTCAAATTCAGCGGATAAAGGTGAGTATGGGAGCCCGGGCGAGCAGGTAAGCCCAACAGCAGAGCAGAGGAGAGAACTAGTTCGGTGTCCACTGCTCATCGCTGCTACTGGCTCACAAGAACCGGACCGAACCGGAAAAATACCACCACTGGTTCAAAGAGCATTACTCTCTTTGGGGGCTCCTTGATGCTGTCTGAGCTTGGTGGCTTTCTTGCAGACATTTCATTACTGACTAAGTAACATCATCAGTATTAAGTATGGCACCTGAACTAAAAATAAAGTTAGTCCTCAAATTAAATCATTTGTTTAGTGACAGTTCAATATTACAAAGGCACTGAAAAAATGACATGACCATTTTTCACACTTATGACCATTACAGCATCTCCATGGTCATGTGATCAAAATTCGGATGCTTGATAATTGGTTGCAGTGTCCTGAAGTCATGAGATCATCTTTTGCAACCTTCTGGCAAGCAAAGTAAATTGGGCAACTAGACTCAATTAACAACCACGTTAACAAATTTAATTGCAGTGATTCACTAAACTGAAAAGTTGTAAAATGGAGCAAAATTCACTTCACTGTCTCAGTTAGCAAGAGAAATTTTGGGCTCAATTGTGGTTCTAAGTTGAAAACTACCTGTATTCTCTTCTATTCGTATTACAGGTAGTCCTCAACTTACAACAGTTCATTTAGTGATCAAAGTTACAAAGGCACTGAAAAAGTGACTTATGACCATTTTTCACAATTACGACCTTTGCATCGTCCCCATGATCATGTGACCAAAATTCAGAACCTTGGCAACTAGCTCATGCTTATGACTGTTGCAGTGTCCAAGGCTCATGTGATCACTTTTTGCAACCTTCTGACAAGCAAAGTTGATGGGAAAGCCAGATTCACTTAACAAACAGGTTATTAACATCAACTGCAGTGTGTGATGACCCAGGGTGGGATACAAAACAAACACAGTCACAGAAAACGGGTGAAGCCCCTTTTTATTTCTTCACTTTGCTTCCAAGCTCCGAATATTCTTGACAGAAGACAAAAGAACTCCTACACAGTTACAAGAAGGAAAAAAGCAATACAAATCAGGCAAGATAAGGGCTGGAGGGCGTCCACATATAATACACACTGGGAAGGACACCAAACTCAGAGAGGAACCATCAAGTAGAGATATTTCCAAGCTTTGTTTCCAGCGTTCGCCTGTATGCAGGTCCATCTTATTCAGTTGTCACAGCTGCAGCCCATGAAGAGGATCAAGGCCCTCTCCTCCCGAGTAGACCACGTTTCTCCCTTATCCTCTCTTCCCTGCATGCCCTAGGATGGATAGGGGATGGGCCTGGGTCCTCCTCTGACTGCTCAGCTGGCCTCTCCCCTTCCCCAGCCTCCTCCACAACCTCCGGAGCCACACTTCCACTCCCTGTCGGCTGTTCCCTCTCTCCCTCAGAGTCAGTCTCCACCAGGGGCATGACACAGTGATTCAGTTACCAACTGTGTCAAGAAATGTCATAAAATAGGGTAAAACTCATGTAACAACTTCTCACTTAACAACAAATTTTAGGCTCAATTGTGGTCATAAATTGAGGACTACCTGTACAAACCCTTCCCTTCAGTTTTCTTTAGATCAAATGCTCATAATACCTTCAGTCTTTCTTCCTAAGACTTTGATTCTAGTCCGCCGAGGTTCATTCTGTCCTTCTCTTGCCCATCCCTCTGATGCATAGTGGTGAAACAATGAAGGTTGCAGCTTTTAACACTCCATCACTAGGGTGCAAATACAGCAGACGACCCAGGAGTGCCCACCTTTGTAAACTAGAAGAAAGCCATCCACCCACAGCAGGCTTTGACAAGATGGCTGAATCTATTGTTCTAGCCCACTCTTCCCCGCTGCCTCTTTAAGAAAAGCCCTAAGTGAGGTTTTTTCCTACTACCATCAATTGCTGAAACTGCTTTATACTGCTATCCTTTGTACAGCCTCATAGACTGGAGGGTAATAACATTAAACTGCTCTAAGGGTGTATGTTCCTTGTGTTGCACAAACCCAGTTGCAGATGGAAATGGGTGGAAGTGGCAGTTCATCGAAGCCCTTCACTGCAACTTCAGTACAGTACAGGTAGTTCTCAACTTACGTCCACAACTGAGCCCCAAATCTCTATTGCTAAGCGAGACAATTGTTAAGTGAATTTGCCCCTATTTTACAACCTTGACACAGTTGCTAAGTTAATCATTAAGTTAGTAACACGGTTGTTAAATGAATCTGACTTTCCCCTTTTGACTTTGCTTGTCAGAATTTCACAAAAGGTGTTCACATGAGCCCGGAACACTGCAATTGTCATAAATATAAAACCAGTTGAATTTTGATCACGTGGCCACGGGGATGCTGCCCTGGTTGTAAGTGTGAAAAACAGTCATAAGTCACTTCTTTTAGTGCTGTTGTAACGTTGAACAGTCACTACATGAACTGTTGTAAGTCGAGGACTACGTGTACCTACATTTAGAGAAAAACGGTGGAAAATCCAGGTGATGAAAGGCAAGTTGCAAGCACAGGTGCCATCCGATACATTTGCGGCTCAAATATAGGTTGCCTATCAGAGAAAGCTCCTCTTTTCGTTCTCCTGAAGTTCTTTGGAAAAGGACAGCGTGGCTTGCCAACAAGACACAGGCTATGACTTCAGCACTTGGCCTCCACATTGCCTCACTCCAGGACCAATGGATAGGACTCCTTTGCAGCTCCAGCTGTTCAATGCAACCCTGGGCATGGCTAGTCTAAGTGAAGAAAAGGACCAAGGGAGACATGATAGTAGTCTTCCAATATTTTGAGGGGCTGCCACAGAGAGGGGGGGGGGGGTGTCAAGCTATTTTCCAAAGCACCTGAAGGCCATACAAGGAATAATGGATGGAAACTGAACAAGAAGAGATTTAACCTGGAAATAAGGAGAAACTTTCTGACAGTGAGAACAATCAACCAATGGAACAGCTTGCCCTCGGAAGTTGTGGGAGCTTCATCCCTGGAAGCTTTCAAGAAGAGACTGGACTGCCATCTGTCAGAAATGATGTAGACAGGGTCTCCACCTTGGGCGCGGGGGTTGTACTACTAGATGACCTATAAGGCCCCTTCCAACTCTTATTCTGTAACTGACGGCGCAAGCTTCCCGCACTGAGCTTGCATCGGGCGCTGCAGCCCAAACCCGCGCGTCTCTCTCTCATTCTCTCTATGGGAGCTGGGCATCTGCTCCTTTGACTTCCGTTTCGTGAGCTCGGTCGGAAGTGGGGCTTTTTTTTTTTTTGCGTAGCGGTGTCCATGGAGACGGAAGATGGCACCTCGGCGTAAGTGGAGGGCTCGGCAGGTGGACAGGGTGCCGGTAGGAACGGCGAGGTCATGTGACGAACGAAACGCGGGAGGGGGGGCGGGGGGCGGTATCGAATGCGGTCTCTCGCGCTTCCACGTTCTAAGTTCGAAGGCTCCGGCCTCGGGCAGGGAGAGATGCAGGCGCGGAAAGGAGGGGGGGAGATCTGGCCCCGGGGCTCCAGACGCTCCCGTGGCAGGAGATCCTGCATAGGGAAGGGAAAGGGAAAGGAAGGGGAGCTTGCCCTAAAAGAGCCAGCCCAATCCGGCATCCCCGAAAGCTGTGCGGGTGCACATCTCCTGTTGGGGGCATAACTTTGAGATGCCCGGTTTAATCCCATATTTCAAGGGCAACGGTCTTCTTTTTTAAATCCTCTTTCGGATGTCCCAATCGGGTGTCGGAAGACTGGATTGCGATACCCTGCAATTCGCAGTGGAACGTAGGTTTTAATCTGCGTTTCGGTTTGCAACTCCTCTGAGTATCGTGCCAGTTAAAATAATATCGAAGTATATTTAAATATGGATCTGCTCTGAATCAAATTTGCAAAGAAGAACGAGGATACGTGCCTGACAATAAGGCGGAATGGAAAAGATTGGGCTGGTAGTAATTAGTCCTAGTGCTTTGGATCTGATCTGGAGGGATCAAGTTGCACAAGTAGAAGAGCAAGATAAGACATATTGTGCCTTTTTCTAGCCGCGTGTACATCGCAGTTTCTCTAGCAACGAGTGTCACTCTACATATAGACATTCATGAGATAATCTTTAGGAATATCAATGTAAGTTTATAACAGAATAGAGATTATTATCATGAGGTTTGCAGTATGTGAAGCTATTCTTTTCGATGTCGCATTGGGTAAGTTACACCCATTTCTTTGTGAAAAAAAAAAAAAAGAAATCACAGACATATTAATGTTTTGGTTGCACCTCCTAGATCGTCAACTTTCCTCTACACCTCTAGAAATTCTGCTGTTCCTCAATGGCTGGTATTATGCCACATACTTTTTGCTGGAGATTTTCATATTTGTCTATAAAGGTGAGTCTAAAGTACAGGAAGTTGAGGGGGGAGCATACTTGCATAAACTCCTTTGTTCTTTTTTAGGTATCTGTGACTTATCTGAAGAAAGTGAAACAGAAAAATGTGACTTTTTATTTCCTCATTAATTCTGTAATTTAACCACTGATTGTATAGAATTCAGGGTTTCTGCAGAACTATTCTTTATAGTAGAATTATTGAAACCAAAGATTATATAGATTTCAGATATCCTTTCCAGAAACCATCAGAGCTTCTCACCTGATTCCATGTTCTGCTTTGGAGTAATACTTCCTGCTGCCATCTTCCTGAAGATACCTTACCTAGAAGTCTCCCCTGATCCTAATGCACCCCTCCCAAAGAACTCCCAAATATTTCTGGTGATTAAAGTTCAAAAATCCAACAGTTGAAATGATTTCTCTATTGTATTTTCCTGGCCATATAGTTTAGATGTGTGTGACAGGTGATTTCAGATCTTCTTTTCCTACATTCAAAGATATAAAAGATATCGAATAACAGAGCAGCTTATTGGAAAACAGCATCTTATTTAAGAAAAGCCCAAAGAGCATGTCTTTTTACAAAAGAAAATGTAATGCTTCCAGCTTTTAAAAAAAGAGGTGTTAGCACACTATAGTAAAAGATTAAGTTTAATGCAACATTCCTAGTTAAATGTGTTAGCAACTTTAAGGTTCCTGAAACAGATATTCTCCTGTTTCTATTATTCCTGGGCTTCCTACATCCTGGAGATTTCAATAATTTAATTATTGAGGTTGTTGAGTAGATAGAACCTCAGCCCATTTTTTTAATCTTGGTCTACAGCTTTCATACATACATTGAAATGTTCCCATCTTCAGCAAAGAAGGTGCATCTATGCCTTCAAATCAATGTTAGTTCCTAGTGACTGTCTAGACTAATCTCCACAATTTTCTTGGCAGGATTTTCAGAAGTGGCTTGCCATTGTCTTGGTCCAAAGCCATGCTTTACTCAGAGGGAATCTTGATTGACCATCTTGTATGAGGATGACTAGCAGGGATTCACTGTCTCTCCTTTTACATTTGATCTTTATCAACAACAAACATTTATCTTTTTTGAGAAATGGTGGAAAGGGGCATCTTGCTTTCCTTCAATTCACGTGGCCATTTGTGTATCTTGTTGTATAGGTATCTTGTTGCCTTATCCATCTGCTAATCTTGCTTTGGACCTGATTATGCTTTTTCTCTATCTTGGAATTGAAGTCACAAGGATATTTTTTGGTAAGCATTAAAGAATACACAATTATATTTAAAGGAATAGCACATGCATTTGTCAGGTAAATATGAGCTTCTTTGATGGCATTTAAACTTACTAGATCTGTGATGGCAAACCTATGGCACGTGTGCCACAGGTGGCACACAGAGCTATTTGTGCGGGTATGTGAGCCCCAGCCAAACTTACCTGCGCTGCGCATGCGCGCACCTCCCAGCTGATTTTTGGCCCGTTTGAGGCCTTTTTCGGCCTCCCAGAGGCTCGAGGGAAGCCTCTGCAACCTTTGGAGGCCAAAAAACAGGCCTGTTTCATCACTTCCGGTATTTCCGGAAATACCAGAAGTGATGAAATGGGCCCGTTTTTTGGCCTCCAAAGGCTGCAGAGGCTTCCCTCGAGCCTCTGGGAGGCCTAAAAAGATGTCAAATGGGCCAAAAATCAGCTGGGAGGTATGAACATGTGCAGTGCAGGTAAGGGGGTGATGGCAGGGGAATTGCACATGCATGCACAGGGGGCGGGGCCCCTGCGAGCATTGCCTTATGGGTGCTGGCGCATGCGCAATTTTCGGCACAGGAGCCCAAAAAGGTTAGCCACCACTGTACAACATGGTCTCCCCTCCACATCTTCAGGCTGTTCACCAAATTGTCAGTAAATAAATCCTGACTCCTTAAGAACAACACATTTATGAGATGTTGACAAGTGATCCTAAGCAGATATAAATATATGGATGCTGGCAACATTCTCCTACTGTATATTGTGCCCAGGCCACGTTAATGGTCCTAGTCAACTGTGATAGTGCACTGTAGATGTGGATAGTGTAGTTTGTGTTTACAATTATTTGGGAGTAATGTACCATGATACAATTTGATATATGGGGATGGAACTGTAAGGTTTGATCAGTCAGGCTGCCCCTCTTGGTCTGTAACCATATGAAATCAGATTCTGAGAATTTGTAAAGTTCAAAACCCATTCTTTCATTTTAGGAGAGGTTATTTCTAATAGGTCATTTTCATGTCATGAAAGTGTATTGGGAGTAGGATAAGCAGAACACAGTGCTAGATATACTAACCTTCAAAACTTATGTGCCACTCCCCACACTTTCTTCTGTTGAGCGAAGTCTGAAAGAGAGTCCTGTTTGTGTTCAAATTAGGTTGCAGTATCTGGGGCATCATTGACCCAGATAAAACCAGGGGCAGAAAAAATTGTGAGGAGAGATTTAAATCCAAGTTAGCATGCATTGATGTGCCTTTCAGTGCTGCAGCTCAATTCTTTCTCTGGTACATTCTCTCATATGAATATCTTAAAGGTTTACTGGATTGTTTCCGACTTCTGCTGAATGGTCCATGTGTTCTGTGTCCCATATGACAGGCTCCAAAGGTAACCTTTGCCAGCGAAAAGTGCCACTTGCTATCAGCCTGGCACTAACCTTTCCAGCAGCAGTGATGGCAGCCTATTACCTACTTTTGCAGACCTACGCCTTGCGTTTGGAAGCCATTCTGAATGCCATCCTGCTTTTCTTCTATGCAGTTGAGCTATTACTGGGCATTCTAACATTAGCCTCCTTTTCCAGGTAATTATCTTGTAAATCTGAGATTTATTGGGATAGCCAGTTTGGTCAGTAGTTAAGAAACTGGAATATAAAGCAAGAGACTGAATTCAAGTCCTGCCTAGACCATGAAAGCCAGCTGGGAGAACTTGGGCCAGGCACTTTCTCTCTGAGCCCAACTCACCTCGCAGGGTTGTTGTTGTGGGGAAAATATGAGGAGGAAAACGTGTTGGGTAGGTTCACTGCCTTGAGGCATTTGTAAAAATAATAAAGGCAAGGTATAAATAAACAATAAAAAATTAATCATTTTAATTATTGAAATCAAAGTTTTGGTTGTAGGTTGCCTTTACATTTTAAAGGCAATGATTGGTTTCCCTCCCCAGTGGCTTTGAAGAAAATATAATACTTCCTTATTTAGAACCCAATAGAAATTGTCTCCTTACACAGTTTAGGAGAGAAAAATAAAAGTGCAATTATGAAGGAGGAAAGTCTATTGAGTATCTTGAAATAAGGATAAATGGTTGAGAATGACTGATCAATTCCACACGGCAGAATTGACAAGAACAGATGGGTAAATAAAGACCAAGTAAAACCAAATACAAGGGTTATAGCCATCTCAGCAGTATATCAAACTTCATCATAATATATTGAGTCATATCAGAAATGAAGTCTTAGAACTGTTGAGGATTATTGTACAATTGCATTTCACTGTCTTCTTCAGACCGGTGGCTGCAAACATTTTTGTCAGCACAGGAACTAGATTTGCTTTTTTGATTGGTTCTTATTTATACTGGGTAAGGTAAGAAGTGTTTAGAGTGGTCATGACTATAATAATATCCTTATGTTACTTGTTTTATTTATTTATCCTTTCAGTTTGGATTCATATTGAGAATCTGTGGATTGCACTATGTGAAACACTTTGTGATTAAGGGAAGTTGCATGAAACCATTTCCATGCCTAGCCCAGGATGAAATTGGCAAGCTGGTTTCTTGGACAAGATGAAAGAAGATATAGTTCCAGTCTTTGCTTCAGGCATGCTGAGGTACTGCCCTGAGAGTAGAGTTTCCAATCCTAGACTGGATGGTCTAAGCACGTCCTAATCATCTTCCTTGTATCCCATCTTAGAGCATAACAATTGACCCACTTGGACTTGACGGTATTCAAGACTGATTTTTGCAGGTCTCAAGACTGTGTATCTGGGAACTTCAGCCACTGCATAGATTTTGCCTGCAAGTGTTGTACACTTCAGATTCTTAAAATGGAAACATTCTGACACTGACTCAAGTCTTTACCCTGTGTACAATGACTCTTGTTAGGATGCCTTTGTCAATTCTATTTGTTACAGCCAATGTCCTGCTCTTAAGAGGGATGTCCATTCCCTAGAAATCAGTATTGTTATTGTAGTGTATTGGTAATTTGTGATTGATACTTGATTTTTTTCTACAATACCCTTGACATAAATACTTATTTTTCAACTATTGTATGTGATAGTTCTAAGTGAGAGATATGCTCAGCTTTCTCCTATCTTCCACCTACAACCAATGAAAGATACACCCACGCACACACACACACACACACATGCTATAGTGGCTGGGACTTTCAGTCATGTGTTTAAGTTCAAGGAAAATTTCTATTTAGCCAGGTTTATATGAAGGGGTCCTGAACTGGCTCAGCCCCAACAATTTAATTTCTTACCTTTCACACATGACTGGGTAATTTTTTTGTTGCAGTTGTTGATGTCATACTGCCCTTATTTTGCATTGAGGATGGGAGGAAACAGGGTTATTGTAATAGAGGTAGTCTTTGATTTATGACCACAACTGACCCAAAATATCCATTGCTAAATGAAATAGTTGTTAAGTGAATTTTGCCCCATTTTACAACCTTCATGGTTGCTAAGTGAATCATAAATATGTCAAATACATCACTGTCATAAATATGACTCAGTTGCCAAGCATCTTAATTTTGATCACATGACCATGGGGATGTTGCAACGGTCGTAAGTCTGAAAAATGGTCATAAACCGCTTTTTTTCAATGCTATTGTAACTTTGAACAGTCACTAAGTCAAAGGTGTGAATCAGGGACTACCTATACCATTTCAGACAAATAGCTGTCCAAGGTACTTTGAATATCTTTGGTAATAATATTAATTGTTATTGTTGAGGTGCATCTTCAGGTTCAAATTTGTTTTGACTGACTGATTGATCATGGGCCATGAAGTCATTTTTGACCCCTAACGACTACATAGATTTTCTCCAGGATGATGTATCCTTAGTAGGAGCCCTTAAATGAGACACACAGCAGAAGTTTAATGGAGGTCAGAACCTCTCAATAATGGAACAGAGTTGCATTTGATGCATCAGTAGACCCAGTCCATACTCGGCCTCCTTGATCAGCCACAAGATATTTGTTGTTGGAAGCCTTGACTATGAGACAGCTGGAGGATACAAACTGTAGGCTGAAATTGCTAGGACGGTCACTGGTTACCAGGATTTGCCCATCTTTATCCAAGGCCCAATATCTGCCACCTAGCAGAGTTAGTGGAAGGAAGGTATAAAATTAGGGAAAGACAGGGGCAAGACCAATCAAGCTGTTCTATTTTCTTGATTTTTAAGGATATTCCGATGATTAAAGGAATCATAGGTTGCAGTCGTGTTTCTTGTAATCGCCAGATTTAATCTAAAGATAAGAGGGCAACCTTTTGGGGCCTCATTTCTGGCTAGAGTGGGAACTACACCCATCCTTATCAAGACTTTGCTGTTTATCAGAATACTTCTTGCTAAGGAACATGACTTTCAATCTTAAGATTTCAGTAATCTTATGCAAGATTGCTGGGAAAGAGTTTGGGAAGCACTAGTTCTGAGAACTAAAATTCTGAGAACTGAAGCTTCTTGGATGAGAAGTAAAACATTTTCAAGAAAAAAAAAAAAAGCAAGGAGATCCAGTCGTCTTTTGAAAAAGCACCTTTGGGACAACCATAACCTGAATGATTGAGAATTTCCATAGATACTAACTTTCATCTTTCTGCACTCCCAGCAGTCTTAAGGAAGAACATTTAATGCCTAATGCTAAAATTGTGGCTGAACTTTAAGGGTCTTCACTGGTATAATTTGAGGACTATATAATTGGAAAATATGAACAACACTTAGCTAAATATTTAAGCAAACATAAATGCCCCAGAAAATACCTTACTTTTGGGGGTGGGGGGTGGGAGAAGCATAGTGGCAAGATCATTTCCTATCTTCCTTCAAATTAGGGTAAAGGAAGTGGGGATATGTTATGGCCTTGATTCCATTTATCTCTATGGAGCTTCCTTCTATCACCTGGCCAGGCTAGAGGAGTGTATGTGTGTGAAATAGTAGTACTGTGTGTCAGATTTCCTCCTAATGCAGATCATCTGGGGGTCTCTGTTGTAAACTAGCTTAATCAGCTATAATATACTAACCGATTTGGAAATTATAGTAGCCTTCCTCACTGAGTGACAGGCTGCTGAGCACGTAGTCAACACAGTTCCCTTCCAACCGCTTCATGTCAGAACTCAGACCAACATAACCAGCATCACTGTGCAGGATCAGTAGAGGCCGGTTCACCAGAACTAGCAGGAAATCTTCACTTTTACCTGTAAGTGCAATATAATCCTCTTGATATTGTTCATCTTGGTCTGCAACCACCTGCTGGTATTTGCTAAAATGCTTTTTACCCACCAGTTAAAAATACCCAAAGTACCAAAATAAGTATCCTAGGAAAGTTGTCTGTTGGGACTATTTGGTTTGATAGTTCATTCCTCTAGTCTTCCTAATACAAACCATAACATTGACACTGGCCTAGAAATCATTGGGTGTTCACATTTCAAAGGCACTTGTCCTCAGACCAGAGGTGGGTATTCAGCAGGTTCTGACCAGTTCTAGAGAACCAGTAGCGGAAATTTTGAGTAGTTCGTAGAACCGGTAAATACCACCTCTGACTGTCCCTGCCCCCATCTATTCTCTGCCTCCCGAATTCCAGCTGATCGGCTGGGTCTTTTGTTGTCCTGCACAGGAGAATGGAGCTGAAAAGCAGGTTAGTGGAGTGGGGAGGGAATGGGGATTTTGCAGTAATCTTCCCTGCCACGCCCACCAAGCCACACCCACCAAGCCACACCATGCCCACAGAACCGGTAGTAAAAAAAATTGAATCCCACCACTGCCTCAGACGTTTCATCATAATTATTTTTATGCATCTACTGCACTTGCTCTATTATCAAACAATAACTTGAAAGATATTTCTGCTAAAAGTATCCAAACACAATTTGGGGGAGGGGAATGTCACATCCCAAGGCTAGCTGACATCTTGTAACCTATTCCAAGAACAAGATGACCCAGGTCCTACTGTTTTACAGGGGCTACGCCATAAAAAAAAGCCCAGGGCTCGGTTGCCCGTGTTACTTTTAAATCTAAGATCAACCTAGGATTGTGATCCATGAACTTGGTTGACTGAATGGGTTTAAAGAGAGGGAAAGGCATGTTGCTGCTTCTTATTAACAATAGCAATCATCAGTTTAAGAAGAGCTCTCATTTTATAAGCTCAGCCCTAACATTAGTTTTCATTTGGCCATCTGTGGTTTCTTTTCCACAATTGCCCATATTTTAATATTGCCCACGCTGAACCCATCTAATTACAATGAAAGCTACTGACCAACTTATACCTGCAGCTTTGGGGACTGCAAGGAGCTGTCCGTTGGGCCGCATAGACACATACTTGTCTCCCATGTGAAGCAGCACCTTCTGATCCTGATACTGGAGTTCAAACCAAACATTTTTGTCCTGTTTGGTGCTGCTAATGATGCAGTCATTGGGTCCCTGCAGGAGAAAGAGCGGCTTTATTGGTAGAGGAAATTCTGCCTTACCCAATCTAGAAAAAACATTCCCAACCCTGAGGTTGAAATTTCACTTTCAATCCTAGCTGTTTGGCTTTGCATTAAAAATGCTGATTTTACATGTCAGTCTCTCTCTCTCTCTCTCTCTCTCTCTCTCTCTCTCTTTATATATATATATGTCAGGACCCAGCTCCAAATTCAGTTACTGTAAGGTGATTGACGATAATGGCTGTATTTCCATCACAGTAACCTGCAGTGCATTTGATTTACCTACTGTGTTGTCCAAATCTAGAACTTTAATCTATTTGAGTCTGACCTTAGTCATGACTTTCATGATTTCATTGCTATCAGGATATGATCTTGTATAGCTCGGCTCAGAGTGTTGGCTTTATACTTTGTGCTAATCTATTATGTGGTTTGACAGTTTTTTTGTTTAACATGTTGCATGAACCCAGAAATTGTGGTCTATGTTAGTGTATTGCATGATCTGGCCTTTGTACTACTATGCAGATATACTGTGAGTATATCTACAGTATGTATTAGAACTGTCAATCAAAGAATGGTAACATAGGGTGCAGTCCCCAACCCCCAGAAACTGGTCCATGGAAACAAACGAAGCCCCTTCTGTGGAATGAAGGCAACATGTGAATCCACATCCCCTCCGGTCCATGGAAAAACCTCTCCATAGAACTGGACCCTGATGTCCAAAAAGTTGGCGGTCACTGACATTGGGCATTACTTCCTAGTTTAATTTCAGCTCTGGATGGAAAGACATTTTTGAGAGAAACCTCAAAGTCCCGGTCCTAGGAAAACCTTGATCTGTCAGAGTGACAGGTTTTGGAATAAGGAATTAGTTGTACCCACAATGTTAGCTATTAGCAGCCACATTGCTGTCAGAATATACTGTAAAGAAGTCGATCTAAAGTGCAATATTAACAGAATTTGTTTACAACTCTTTTAAAATGAGGTAATAAAAATTAATCTGATTCTTCGTTCAAACATTAAAATAATTTATTTATATTCCCCCAGAAATAATAGAGGGGAAAAAACAATTTCCAAATCAGAAAAGTGTTTTGGTGTGGCAGCATAATTAGTAGATCCTTTTGGGAACTGCCTAGATTATTGAGATTAGAGAACCATTAAAGGACAGTTGTGCCTGTTATGGTGTGCCACATATATGCAAGATACCTCTCTTATCTCAGAATTTCTTGAGGTGGCAGAGATCTAGGATGTTTTCAACATCTGGTTTTCATACAGTAGCAATTTTATGATTGTTTTCATGAAACTCAGACAAAAATAGCTCAGTCTCCCTTATTGACATTTAAAAGGAATTCTGGGTTCTGGGATAGACAATTGTGTTACTTAATTGAAATTATAATTGAGCATTCATGTGGAGAATTTGAATAGTATAATCTGAAGAACCAATTGTGTGAGTACAGGTAGTCCTTGGCTTATGATTACAATTGGGACCGGAATGTCTGTAGCCAAGTGATGGGGTGGGTGGGTAAAGCACAACATCAGGTGATTGTATCACTTAGTGAAAGCAATCCTGGAGTTCGGTTCCACTTGCCATTGTACCTCCAGATGTGGAGATCATTAAGCTGGA